CAAAAACCAGAATTTCAGAAAACACAAAAATCAGAAAACACAAAATCACTCATAAAATAAAATACAAAAATCAGAATTAATTTATTTTAATTTCTAGGCACATATTGATACCCTAACAAAATGGGTTCTTGCTGAACAACGCGAAATGGAAAAACAACAAAAGAGTGGTGGGATTAAGCGGCGAAGATGTGGAAGTTTTATTTCAATAGAAAACACAAAAGAACGTTTTCGTTGTCAATGGTAGAAAAAATAATTTTTTTTTAATTTTTCTTAAAAAATTTTTAAAGGCGTAAATGTGAACAATTTCCTCGTCGAGGGGATGCCCAAAAGAAGCTAGATTGGTTACTTAACCATTTAGTTGTCAGGCATGCCCCAAAATCTCGCCCTCATAAATGTTTGTTTGAGGGGTGTTCTCTCCGTTTTTCTAAAGTGGGAACTTTGCGAGATCATATTCGTTGTGCCCACAATGACAACAATAATAAACAGAATGGGAAAAAATTGTTGGAGGAAAATAATGTCAAAATTTCGTGTTTCGAGTTTCGCCCACTTGTTCATTTTCCTTCTGGTTTGTCTTTAAAAATTGGGAAAAATTTTTAAAAATTAAATTTTAAAGTAAGTGATTGTATTGACTCGAGAACCATTGATTGGGCTAGAAACGAAATGATGAAAACTAAAAATATTAAAAATCAACAACAATCGACTTTTAAAACTAGTAAAGTAAGGGCAAGAATATTGCGTGACAGGAGGAGAATTGTTAAAACAAAAGAAGAGGATATTAAAATAAAAACAGAACAAGTTACGAACATTGTTGAAAAGGTGAGAGAAAAACAAGTTGGAATAAAGTAAAATTAAACTTTCCGGAAAATACAAATTCTGATTATTTTACAGAAACAGAAAACACAAACACAAATTTTCTTACATAAAACACAAATTCTGATTATTTTCCGGAAAATACAAATTCTGATTTTTTTCTGGGAAAATACAAATTCTGATTTTATTTTTTCCGGAAAACACAAATTCTGATTTATTTTTTCCGGAAATGTAATTGTAAATTCTGATTTCTCTCAGAATTTACAAATTCTGATTTATTTTTTCCGGAAATGTAATTGTAAATTCTGATTTTTTCTGGGAAATACAAATTCTGATTATTACAAATTCTGATTATTTCCGGTTGTAATTTCCCCCATTTATTGAAATTACAATTTGTAAAATACCTAAAACTTTATTACAATTTCAGAATATTATTCTACCTAAAAGAATGACAATTAACGAAACAACATTTCACCTAAAAAATATTTTTAGACGGAAGTGTTTTGCAACGTGACTAAAAACATTTAAAAAAAGGATGCCATATTTGTAGTTTATTTAATGGTTAGAATATTTTAAAAATTATTTTAGAGGACTTGATTATTTAAATTAAAATGTTGACCTCGCTAGCTATTTTTAAATATTGACCTCTCCCTAATATTTTTTACTCCATTTTTAAATCTAACCTCGTTATTTAAGATAAATGTAACCTAGGTATATCTCATGATAAAAAAGGTGAGAAAAACATGATGAAATAAACGAAAATATATATAGGTAAATTAAACTTTCCGGGAAAAACAAATTTTGATTATTTTTCATAAATTACAAAATACACACCCTCCTTAAGTCTGGCCGTCTAAGCGCTATCCCCAACTTTAAGATAACCTTTATTATAAAGTTATGATTTTTCTCGTTCCAAGGGGTTTATTTTTAACGAGGTTTAATCGTGTTATATCTATTTATATCTATAGTTATTTTGGTACTCTGCGTTTATATACCCCCACGTCCGCAAATGTTTGTCCGCACTTTTTTCCTTCTCCTTTCTCCTCTCACAAGGATGATAAATGGTCAAGCATCAATAAACCCCCATTTTCTTTGTCTTCTCCTTCTTTACTCCTTTTATTTCGATTAAAATGGTCAAGTAAAAATAGAGGTCAAGAATTTGGCACTTTTCACTTATATGCCCATTTTTCACCGTGTCGAAACAGAATAAGTACGGCGTCATTCGAAAGAGCTTGGAAAGCTTAGTCGAATTAGTGCAAGTATAAGTTGTTCCGGTACCTAGGAACCGAGATATAGAGCTCGAAAAGGTCAAAAACCATAGGTGGAGTAAGCTCAGTTTGGAGTGAAAAATACGAAATGCAAGTGATTGATAGCTCATTTTATTGAACTCGTCGAGCTGAGTCGAATAACATCAGAATCAGCTTTATTCGATGATTCTAAGCAAAATTGTGACCAACTGAATTTTCGCTGCAATAGCTCCAAAATAATTTCTAAACATTGTTTATTTTTAAATGACCATTTTAATCAAAATAAAAGGAGTAAAGAAGGAGAAGACAAAGAAAATGGGGGTTTATTGATGCTTGACCATTTATCATCCTTGTGAGAGGAGAAAGGAGAAGGAAAAGGAAAAAAGTGCGGACAAACATTTGCGGACGTGGGGGTATATAAACGCAGAGTACCGTTATTTTTATACATTCCAAAAATGATATTAAATATTTTTTCTTCTTCTACTATTACATAATTGATTATAATGATATTTTTTTCCCTTTTATTTTATTCTAATTATTTGATAATTAATTATATTTACTCAGTATTTTCCAAAAAATATTTTTTCTCCACATATCCTACACAAAATTAAGAATCTTTCAATTTTATTTTTAAAAATGTTTTCATATTTTTCTTTCATATATTTTCCTCACACCTCAATTACATACACATGACACACAGGCATTATTATCTCAGGGAGGTAAAGCCAACAAAAACTTTGTTTAAAAAATTTGGTTTGATATTTAATTATGTAATATATTTTCTTTTATGTACCTAATTATTTCTTTAAAATATAAACGGATAAATTTCAAATTAATAAAAAATGTTGTTTTATAAAATTATCGGGTTAATAATAAGTTTAAGCAACAAGTTTGGAAGGTAGGAAATAAGAGCTATGATCTCTCCGGAAGTTATTAATTAGTAGAGATCGGCCTGGGTTTTTCCTGTACCCAGAGTCCAGGCCCAGGCATTTTTTGACCTTCCTGGAGTTTTCCTGGACTACAGGCCCAGGATCCGGCCCAGGTCTATAAATCAAACACAGGAACAAGCCCAGACTTTTCAGAATTTCCGATCTCTATTAATTAGTCCCTTTCAGATGCTCCCCCAATCGAAGAGGAACTGCCTAGAGCGATGTTTTAACCCCCGTTGGTTTTCAATTTTTAAAAATTCCAGCCAGTTAAAATTCCCGAGAATCAAAAATTTAGCTCTTTACTGGCAAAGCTATTATTATATTTAACAAATTGTTGAAGCTTCCCTTTACTATTTATTTAAGTTAGATAAACAACAAGGTGTATATTTTTTATATAGGTAATTTTTCCATTAATTTTATTGCAACAATTTTTTCCTTTTCTCTTTCAATTTATATATTAATCCCAACCCAAAGCATCAAAAAAAGAGCTCCAAACCCCAAAAAGCCAGATGCAATTAAAGCAATAACCAATTCTTTGATTATACTTCGAGTCTTTTTTGTACTAGTTACCTTTAAAATAATTAATTTTAATAAATGTACAAGGGTCTGTCGAAATTGAGGTTAAAGATCAGTAAACCAAAAAAGAGCGAAATTCGGCAAAAAACGAAAAAACCGGCAAACCCTTGTCCCATATATTCCTCACATTTCTAATTTAGAAACCCAAAAACTAGAGAATTGTGAATACATATCCTAGAGGGGTACGCCCAAGTAGGCGCACGGCCAAGTAGGTGCAAAGTCATAACTTGCTTCAAAATTTCCGAATCTTACCAAATTTGGTATTAAACGATTTCTCTCATCGAGCTAAAGAGAATGGTACCAAAATTGTTAAGGTCCATAAATTTTTCAGGTAGTTATGGCTTTGCGCCTAATTGGCCGCGCGCCTACTTGGGCGTGTCCCATCCTAGAGATGTCCTCGAAAAGGGGGGAGTGAAGCCTCTTTATAACGATACCCTCTTCCCCGTCTCATCCCTAATCCTTGTCAAAAAATCAAGCTTAAGGGGAGTGTCGTTATAGAACTTCAACTTCAATTAAGACTATCAATAAACTTACTCCATTAACAAAAAAGTAGGCAGTAGAAATCAAACCAATTCCAAGCAGAACAATTGTCAAATGAGGAAAAAGTGAAGGGCTTACCTTAGGAAAAATAAAAAAATTTTTACAAAAAATACAAATAATTACCGGGCTATTATACGGATGCATTTTTGAAATATCAATTGCCATTTTCTCTGAAAAAAAATTTCTAAAAATTTTTTAAAAATTTAATTTAACAAACAAAATAAATATAAAAAATATTTAAATTTAAATTAAAAAATATTTTCTAATAAAATTTTATTTGAAAAAAATTTATTTTTAGTCAATTAAATTTAAAGATGTTTGTACGATTTATATAAGACTACTACTGGCCTATAATAAAATTTTTGGGAGAAAAAAAAAATACAAAAAAAAATTTAATTAATTAATATTTTTTTTGATCAAGAAGTTGACTCGAAAATCTTCGATTTTAGAATTTTCCTTCGTTTTTTTTCGTCTGAATTTTATTTTCCATTAAGAGCAACTTCTATGACCAAAAAAGAAAAGTCAATTAAAATTTAAAAAAAAATTAAATTAATTCTATACAATCAAATTTACTACTTAAAAACTTTAATTAATAATTAAGTAAAAATGGAAATGTTTGGGCAGAAGTAAAAAATAATTATTAATTAATTAAAAAAATTTTTTATATATAAATTCTCTCATTGGGCAAATTTAAGTGTCTATTTATATAATTTATTTGGGGGTTGACAAAAAAAATTTTTTTCGATTAAAAAAATTTTCACCTAAAAAGCTTTATCAAAAATGTTCAAAAAATTTTTTTTAGAAAATTTCAGACTTTTGTCAACCCCTCTAATAATATTTTTTTATATATATTCTTACCTAATCTAAATTTATTTTTAAAAAACCCTCTTCTTTAAATTTATCCAGTTGTCCTTATTTCTTTTAGTCTATTTTCCCACAAATGTTCAATTATTGTTTCATCTACAAGAGTCGAAATATCACCCAAATCTGCTTGTTTGTCACCCTCTGCAATTTTTCTCAATATTCGTCTTGTAATTTTTCCGGAACGAGTTTTGGGTAATCCGTTAGCGTGCTGAAAAAGGAAATTTTAATTCGTATTAAATAATTTTCCCCGAAGAATCAACCCCAGAAATGCCCTTGTCTATGAATGTCTCACCATCCATTAGGTCACAAAAGAGGTGAGAAAAATTTTGTTAGGTAGGATTGACGATCGGTTAATTTTCCATGTGCGTCTGTCAGATGCTTACTTGTTTTACTATTAAAGCCGCCACTAGAAAAAATAAACCGGCGCCAACAAAATTAATACCGGGCCAATTTTTGAATTTTTTCTCGAATTGGATTTCCTCGGAACGAGAAAAGCCTAGGTTCTCCTAATTTTTTAAGTAATTCCCATTAAAATTTAGAAAAGAAATTAAACCTGTATAACATCAGGAATAGCAATAGCCCCAATTTTGTCCCTAACAACACATTTAATTTCTTTAACCAATTCTTCAGTTAATCTTTTATCATTAGATAATACAACAAAAGCATAGGGGAAGTGTCCTTTTATTGGATGTGGAGCAGACACAACAGCAGCTTCAACAACATTTGGATGCAAAGCTAAAGCTGATTCTATTTCGCTTGTAGAGAGGAGATGGCCTGATACCTTTTAAAAATAAAAAAAATAGAATAAGACAACCCTATATAGGATATACCCTTGGAGTCAATAAATGGTCTCTTATAATGAGGGAGTATCTTAAATAGAGGTTAGGAAGCTCCAAACAACAACCAAATTTCAAGAAAACGATTCTTAAATTGAAATGTATCTAACAGTGAGTTATCTTAAATAGAAGGGCATCTTATACTAAGGTGTATGTTAAATAGAGGGTATCGCTTCGGCAACTTCCCCCTATCCAGTAACCCAAATTTTAAGAAAACATGTCGATATAATGAGGTCTGATTGTAAAAACAAACATTCATTAAATCGTCCGTTCTTCCAGTAATCCAATAATAACCATCATCATCTAAAAAATGAAATTGAGAAAATTTTTTAAATTCAAAAAACCTCTACGTGCACCATCTCCAGTAAAATAATTTCCAGGATAAGCACTAAAATAATTAGTAACAAAACGTTCATGATCACACCAAATAGACTAAAAAATATTTTTTAAGATTTTTAAATCAAAAAAAATTTAATTTTCTTCTTACTCTCATAATTCCTGGCCATGGCTGTGAAAAACACAAATTTCCTTCTCCAGGTCCCTTTTAAAATAAATTAAAATATCAATGTAAAAAATAAAATTGTAGTGAGGTCTGATTGCCCTAAAAGTCATAGAATTTAATTTTTATCTTGAAAGCATCTTACAAAAAATGTTCCCGGAGCTCACCTCTCCCTCATCCCCCCCAATCGAGGAATAATTATAAGAAAAAAAATTATTTTAAAAAAACCTCTAATGTTTTCCCTTCAATATTAACCAATTTTGGAAGTACTCCAAAAAACGGAAGGGTTGCAGAGCCTGGTTTAGTTGGAATTGCAGCAGGCATTGGAACAATATAAAAAAGAACAATGATAATTTTAATTCACAAAAAAGTATTTTTTAATTTTATAATTAAATTTAAACTTAAATATAACCAACCACATGTCCACCCTTAAAAAATAAAAAATTATTCAAATTTTTTTCCCAAGTTTACCGTTTCAGTTTGCCAATAAGTATCAACAACAGCACATTTTGTTTTACCCACAACATTATATAACCATTTCCATGCTGTTGGGTTTACTTTAAAAATTGATAAAAAATTGAAAAAATTATTTTAAAAAACAAACTAGGTTCTCCAACAGTCCCAATTATTTTAAGTGAAGAACAATTATGTTTTGTTACAAATTCTTCTGGGAATGCCATTAAAGCTCTTAGAAAAGATGAAGGTCAAATTTAATTCTGAAAAATAAAATTACCTAATAGCTGTAGGTGCTGTATAAAATTTGGTAACTCGGTATTTTTCAATAATTGACCAAAAACGAGAATGATCTTTAAAAAAATTGTAGAAAATTAGTGGCTCTGGTCTAATTTATGGGTCCGATGACTCAAAAAGGTTCATAGAACTCATAAACCAGACAAGAGCCTTTAATAAATAAAAAATTAAAGAAAACCTGGATGACTCGGCACACCTTCGAAAATTACAGAAGTCAAACCATTCAATAAAGGTCCATATACAACATAGGAATGTCCAGTTATCCAACCGCAATCAGCAGTTGCCCAATAAATATCTGTATCTGGTTGTGCATCAAATGAGCACTAAAATATAAAAAAATTTTGAAAATTCCTTAAAAGAACCTTTGTTGTCATATAAACATAACACATATACCCAGCAGTAGAATGAAGAATACCTTGAAAATTATTTTAAAAAATGTTAGATAATATTTATTTTATGAATTGGGGCTCCTTTTCTCGATGGTTCTCCGTCTCCAAAGGCCCCTGGAACCGCCTGTCACCATAACTGTCGGTTTGAAATAGTCGGGAATTTCATCGATTGCTCTATTCCATCTCCCAGTTCAAAAAATCTCTAACCCAAACTCGGTTCCTGAACGGACCAACACAAAAAACCGTCGTTTTAAACCATTAGGGACCCGTTCACCTTTCTGGAACTGGAAAGCAAGGCTTCCTCCAAAAGAATTTTCACTGGCACAAAAATAAATAAATACCTTTAGGAGATCCAGTTGATCCAGAAGTATACAAAATAAATAAGGGATCTTCTGCTTCCATCCATTCCACATTTGAATTTGTCTGTTGATTTGCCTCTTGATGTAAAGCCATTTCATAATCCCACGTAGAATCCCTTCCTTTTTCCAATTTTAAATTAATTCCCTGTGCTCCCTTAGGTATTCGAATTTTCTTTGAAAAAATTTAGAAAAATAATTTTTAATTTAAATACCTTTAAATGTTCAACAACAATAATATTATCTAAAGATTCTCCTCGAAGAGTACAAATATTGGCTGCTTTGTCCGCCAAGGATTTTAAGTCGATTAATTTATTGCCGCGGAAGCAACCATCTGCTGTGATTCTTTTAAAGAAAATTAATTTTTAGTTAAAAGTGGAGCGCTCGGATAGTTAACCATGTGGAACGATTCGGATTGTCAATTACCTCTCGGGAATTCGAGTTCCCCGACTACAGACAATTCACCGAAAATTAGACAATTCACCGAATTGTCCATACGGTGAATTGCCATTTGTTGAAATGTAAAAATTAAAAAAACAATTAAAAATTTACAAAATTCTAGATCTTGCATGTGTAATTCTTGAAGCTAAAGAATCCGCAGAAAATCCAGCAAAAACAACAGAATGTATAGCACCTATACGGGCACATGCCAACATTGCAACAACCAATTCCAAAATCATAGGTAAATAAATTGCTACAACATCTCCTTTTCTCACGCCTTTAGAACGTAGAACAGAAGAAAATTTGATCACCTATATTTAAATAAAGATTGATTTTATGTCCAAAAAATTTTTTGAGAGAAAAAAATTTTTGCGGACAAAACTTGCGGACAACAAATTTTTTGCGGATTTTGGAAAATTTAACAAAAAAAACCCCCAACACATCAGAAAGTCTCATTAAAACCACCAAGAAAACCCAATTTATTCAAAAAAACCTCTTTTAATAATTCTCCATAAGTTATTGATATTTCATCGCCAGGTTCATTCCCTTCCCAGAAATAGGCTATTCTGTTTTCCAGTCCATTTTTAATGTTTCTTTCCAAACAATTATAAGCAATATTTGTTTTAGACCCATTCATAAAACGAATAAATATCTAAAAAATTTAAATTTTAGTTTAAAGACTTGCGGACAGAAATTGCGGATTTTGGGGAATAAACAGACTTCTCCCTTAGAAAACTGAAAAATTCTGCAAGAGAAAAAGGTTGAAAAAGGGGATTCTTAAATAAAATATAAGGCTCTTATGAATCTTACTTCTTCTCTCCCACCATCACTAAGAGAGCTGTTTCAAAAAAAAAATCTCAGAAAATCGGAAATTGAAAAAATTACTAAAAGCCAAAATCGAAAGAAAAAATTTCGAAAACAGCTGTGGTTCAAAGACACTTAACATTGTACACAATGAAAATGACTCACAAGGAACCATATGTTACTGTAAGTACGAATTTGGTATTGTATTTTTTTGGTACCATTCGGCCCAGTTGTTTTGCAAGAAAACCAGCAAACAATAATAGTAAGTCGAGGGTCCTCTATCGAATGGTACCAAAAAATACCGAATTCGTACTTACAGTAACATATGGTTCCTTGTCAGTCTTATTTATCTTTGATCCCACAAAAATAATAAAAAACCAAAACAAACCTCTCCCTTTCTTTTATCAAAATTCCATTCCAGCCCCTTTTCAGAAAATTTTTCAAAATACAATTTTTCTGCCACAGATTTCCAAAACTCGTCAGGGTTTTTAATTGATTTATTATACATTTCTTGATATTTAGACAATCCAGAAATGTGCGCTTCTTTAATTGTTGGAGGCTGAAATATTTCTTCCGGTTCTTCTTGATAAGTTGTTCCATTTGTTAAATCAAATTTAATTTTTTTGAGATTTTCTGACATTTTTTCTGCTTGGAATTGTTGAGAAGAAGGCAAAATTGAGTCTAAAAATTGAAAAAAAAAATTGAAAAAAATTTCAAAAAAAATCTGAATCAGTCGGATTTCGATTCTAAGGGACGGGACCCCGTACGGGATTTTACGGGATCCCGTCATCCCGGGTTTTCAGCGGCGAACGGGGTCACGTCCCGTTCAATTTCCCCGGGATCACGTCCCGTTCAATTTTGAAAAAATCCCGTTACGGGATCCCGGGAATGCGATTTTTCCGACCTCTAAAATATACTCAACATATACCGTAACCTCTTATTGATCGTACACTTTGCTTAGCTAATTGGTGTACAAATCGAAATCTGACACTAAACAAAATTAATAGATAGAATTTAATTGAAAAAAAGTTTTAAAAATAGGAGAGATTTAAATAACAAATAGAAGAAAAATAAAAATATTTATTGGAAAACAAAAATATTCAACGACAATATGTAAAAATAGAAAGGATAAAAGCAAAATCCACGTGGTAATAAACAATGGTAAACAATATAGAATATTTCTGAGTGAATATAAAATATGTTGTAAACAATAAATTGATTTTAAAAAATCAATTCTATTTTAGAAAATGAAAAAAGAAAATAAAATTACATACCGTATTATCTCTAATACAAGCCCTGGGCGTTTATTTTTCAATACCCCTCATTGACTGGGCTTCTAATAGGGCATGGGCTTCTATTAGGGCATGGGCGTTTATTTTTCAATATCGAAATTTTATAAAGATAAAAAATAAAAGCAACAGAATTAAACTGTTTGTCAGGAAGAAAAAAAGAAAAGAATGTAAAAATTAAATATCAAAATCAATATAAATATCACTAAAACTCCTTTCCCTCAAACTAGTAGCGAGGAAATCCCTTATAATCACGCAAATCACTTTTAATGAACTCCTGAATAATCAGATTAAGCTCTCTATCCATCTTTATTAAATCCATTTTTGTAAATATCCGTTTAATTCCAAAATATTCCTCAATATCCCCCTTGCTCTTAAATCCATTTACAACTTAACCTTCCATATCCATATTATCCTTTCATTTTAACAGTATCGCACTCTAATCTTCCAATGCTATTCTTCTAGTACACTAACTCTCCTTCTTAAGTGTCTAAATTTCTTAATCTCTCATAATCCTTCCATATCCTCAATAGAAAAATATGGAAGGATTATGGATACCTCTATCGATCGAGGGATCCCTCGATAGATATTGAACTATTATTTGACTATCAACGAATTAATAGGAATAATATTGAACTATTATTCCTATTAATTCGTTAATAGCCAATGATATCCACTCAATCATACAATAAGCTCTATACACAATTCCTTAGATACCTTCTTAAACCCATATTTATCTCTAAACCCCCAATAATTTCTCCAAATTAATTCACGTTAAACTCATTTCAAATTCACTTTAAACTGATTCAAATCTCCCGATATTCAATTTAAATCCCTCTGTACTCATTTTCGTAGACTGGAATTTTGTTATAAATACCTTTAGTTAACTATAACACGGGTAATAGAAAAACAGGAAGTCAAAAATTAGATGGGCTTATATTAGGGCATGGTCTTCTATTGGGGCATGGGCCTTTATTCTTCAATACCCCCTATTGAGTGGGCTTCTAATAGGGCATGGGCTTCTATTGGAGATGGGCTTCTATTAGAGACAATACGGTATTTCCTTTGTTATCTTTTAAAAGAAAATTCAAAGATTGCAAAAAATTAAAGGAGCAGTTTGTCCATTTAATCGCACAGACACAAGTTAAAAACATGGAATCCTTTTAAAGTAGACGTTGGTAGCTCATGAAAAGACGCATCAAATGACGCCCCAAATCCTACAAAGACCCTTCTAAAATGAGGTTACTTGCCCCCACGGGCAAGAAAATTTTTTGAAAGAGAATTCTCTCGCGACTAAGTGGGGCAGTGAACAGCGAAAGTCATTCGACACACATTTTTATTTAATCAGCTAATTCACTAAAATTATTGCTTCTTTTCCTCCTTTCACTCAAAAATTATTAAAAAATTATTTACCTTTATTGTCTGTACACTTCCAAGCTTGTTGAAAAATTAAAGGAGCTTGCCAAGCTTTGAAATCAACCAAAAATTTGTTTTTTGTTTTAAAAAAACGAAAATTTTTATTTAAAATACTCATTTGTAATTTTTTTTTGAAACAATTGGTTTGTTAAAAAAGAAAGGGGAAGAAAGAGGAACACGAGAACACTAAATAAACAACTCAAGTTATGTAAGACAGTCAAAAAAATTTTTTAGAAAAAAATATAGGTAATACATATTTAATAAAACTTACTTGCTTAGCAACGTAAAAATGAGAGGGAAAAGAAGGGGAAAATATGAAACAAAAAAATTAAAAAAAAATTTTTTTAATAGAATTTTTAAAAATAAATTTTAATAGTTAAATTTATGTATATAAATTTAAAAATAAAAAAAACTTGTTTTGAACACAAAAGATTAACAAAAAAATAAAAAAAAATTTTAAATGTTAATTTAATTTAATCAAAGAATTTTAAGAATTAAAAAAAAAATAAAAGAAAAATAAATTTTTAAATAAAAAATTGAAAATAAATTAACAAAAAATGTAAGAACACAAAAAATTTCCTTACTAATTCACTACAAGTTTAGTCAACTTTAAATTTATTTTACCCTAGAGATCAACTCTTTTCCTTTTCAAAAAACCTCTTAAATTTTAATCTCGCGAAATCATTCTAAAGGAAGTAATGCTCGCCGATTTTCCCTTCTTAACAATTATCATTCGAAACTTCTTTCAAATCTTTTAAAATCTAATAACTCTTCTGTATTCTGATTAAAAAAAATTTTTTTTGGAAAATTTTTATTCAAAACATAATTAAAATTTATTGACAAAAATAGTAGTTGTTCCCTCTTGCTGATATTTATTTTTTGATTATTTTTCGAAAATTGAAAAAAAAATCCAAAATTGTTACAATGGTTTTAATAGTATCAGCAATTGTACGGGGGAAGGAAATAAAGATTAAAAAAATTCTTGTTTGGAGGAACAATCAGAAATGAGGGGAAATTTAAATATATTTTTAATAGATTTGTGATTTAAAGACGTTTTTTTTATTTTCGATACAATCGACTCTCTCGATATAACGAACTCGAAACCGATTAAAGAGAAGGTTAATTATACCGAAAAGTTCGTTAAAATAGAGGTTCTCAAAAAAATTAAAAAAAAAGAATCACTAATCCTCATATGAGGGAAATAATTTTTTATAAAGGGAAGCCTAGAGCTTTTTCGAAATTTCGCCTTCGATATTTTTGAAATTTCTCGATTTCGGAGTCTCGAAATTTTTTTGTTTCGAAACAACTCTAGGAGAAATTTTTAATTATTTTAAAAAAAATTTTTAAAAGAAATCGGCTGGTTTCGAAAATATAGAAACAGCTCCATCAGCCACAATAGTCGCCCCAGTCACATAACTAGCATCATCGCTAGCCAAAAAAGCGATGACTTTAGCAATTTCTTCTGCCGTGCCTCCCCTTGCCATGGGGACGTGTTCTTTTATCCAATTTAAATAAAACTTGGAAAAAAAATTTTTGAGGGGTAATTAAAAATTAGAAGAAGCACCTTATTAACTGTGCTTTCCTCATCTGCAGATTCGCTGGTAATAAATCCTGGACTAACATTGTTTACCCTAACATTCTTTTTAGCATATTTAATGGCTATTGAACGGCAATAATTATCTGGAATTATTTTTTTTAATTTGGAGAATAATTCTAAAGACCTAGAGCAACTCTTGAAGTGTTGTAATAAGCATAGTCAGAAAACTGAAAAGAAAATATTAGACTTGAGGTTAAAATTAGGGTGAATGAAAATGACGTCCGAAAAAAATAAAATTAGAGGGACATCAATACTCTGTCTCAGTGGCTGGCAGAATGACACGAATTTTAATTGAATTTCTTAGATATCTTGATAGACCCCCAAGTCCGTTTTGGGCTAACTAACGGTAGTTTAGACAATATTTTGGTGTCAGACGGTGAATTGTCCCCTTATATTTAAAGAGAATGTTTACTTGTTGTTGGCCACCAAAACTGCTAACATTAACAACTGCCCCCTTTTGTTTCTCCAAATAAGGAACACATAACCGTGTAAGTTTTGTAATGCTTTTGAGATTTATATTAAAAAGTGTGTCAAAGTGTGAATCAAAATGTGAAGAGCTGAAAAAGTGAAAAAATAACATTGGAATATGAGAGAAATTTAGAGAAATTAAATAAAATTTTTCTCAGTAAAAACAATAAAATCCGCCTATTACAAATTGTAAATTAATTACAATTGTAAAAAATAAGTTAATTTAAAAATAAATACGCCTGCCTATATATGTATAATGTAAAATACGCCTGTTTACAATTATAAATACGCCTGCTAGCATTTGTAAAAGTGAGCATTAAAATAAACTTTTTTGCAATTGTAAAAATGATTGTAGAAGAAAATAAACTTTTCTTACAATTGTAAAAATAAAAATTCCACCTAATGACAATTGTAAAAATATTTAAAAATATTCACCGACGCCTACTAGCAAGTGAATTTCTGAAACTTGCACTAGGCTTTCCATCATCTTCCAATAAATCATTTTCTTCCCTGTCACTATCAACACTTCCACTATTCTGCCTATTTATATTGTGTTTTAATTTGTTGGAAATGGAGGAAGCTGGAGAATTACTGCCTTGAGTTCTGCCGATTGCCCCAGCACTGTTCACCTTTTAAAAATACTTCAATTTAATTTTTGTTACTTTTTTTATTTTAATTTTACCAATATATCAATTCGGCCAAATTTGTTGTAAGTTTTGTCTACAAGGTTTTTTAGGGTCTAAAATTGTTTATAAAATATTTTTAAATTACAATTGTAAATTTAATATTTATTACATTTTTGCTAGAGAAATTCCCGCTTAGTGTTATTTGTAAAAAAGGAATTGTAAAAATAAACTTTTTTTTTACAATTGTAAAATAAGTTTATTTTTTTATTAATTGTAAAAATAAAACTTTTTTTATAATTAAACCTTTTTACAATTGTAAATAAAACTTTCTTTTATAAATAAACTTTTTTTACAATTGTAAAATATAATTCAAGTTTATTTATTAATTAATTAAACACAATTTTGTGTAAGCATGGTTAAGTGGATTTGTGTTTAATTTAACAGCTAGAGTTTTTCAATATTTTAATTACCTGATCATTTTCAATAACTCCTTGAACAACAAGAATATTATCTTGACTAATTCCTGCTCTAACCATTTTAACTATTGTTTCCTATTAAAATTTAGTCTCTCATTTAAAATTTCAAATTCTTTTACCCTCAATTCTTTCTCCACAGTTCCATGTATTGTTACTTTTGCCCCTTCTTTTCCCAATAAAATAGCTGTTGCCCTGTCTATTGCACAATTTGATTCTTGACAAAAAAATTAATTTTAAAAATTGTCTCTTTACTAAGAAACACACCAGTAATAATCGCAACTTTTCCAATAAATCTGGAACCAATGGGTGGACTTTTAACAGGATATATTTGATTAGATGCTGTTAATTCGTGATTATTGTTGTTGTTGTCTTGAATAGTTTCCTCGTCCTCATCTTCTTCACCTATTGTATTCCCTCCCCAAATCATTGTTGTGGAATGAAATTAAATGAAGCTAAGTTTTACAAATTGTAAAGACAAAATTACAAATTGTAAAAAGTTGATAGTAGATACTGACAGTGTTAGACAAGGAAAACAAGTTTTACAAATTGTAAAAAATCACAAATTGTAAAAAGTTGAAGTTTTGATGGTTGACTGTTAAATAAGGAGAATAAGTTTTACAAATTATAGAAAAACTACAAATTGTAAAAGGCTGATTTTGTAGTTATTGACAGTGTTAGACAAGGAAACCAAGTTTTACTAATTGTAAAAATATTACAAAGTGTAAAAGGTTGATTTTTATGTAGATAGTTGACTGTTAAATATTAGACCAAGTTTTACAAATTGTAAAAAATCAAATTACAAATTGTAAAAAAAGTTGTTAGATAAGCAGAGAAAAATATTTTTTTATTGCAACTTAATTCAATCACGAGTTGTTTCTAAAAATCAAAAAGTAGCCAAAATTTGTGAAGAAAAAGCAAAGAAAAGAGAAAGATGTCGATTTAATGCCATTTCTCAATCCTTTGCGCTTTAAATTTTTTTAATGAAATATGAGAGGCTTTTTTAAATAAAAAATTTTTTTGTTTTTATTCTTTTTAAAAAGCTAAAAATCTTTCAGGTAAGAAAAAAAGGTTACATGAACAAATATTTTATGTGTATTTTACTTGAATTTTTTTTGTAAAATTTATTTCGAAATAAAAAGATTAAAGGGAGATTTATTTTTTAATATTTTTAGTTGATAAAATTAAAATTTAATAAAATCAAAAATTGATTGGGAAAAATAAATTCGACAGTAAAAATTTCGGTAGTCTTTATTTTTAAATTTCTTCAAATTCACATTTCTTACTCTTGCAATTCACTAAGTTGAAATATCAACGAGCAACTAATATCAACACTTTATCTGAGGTAGCGAGGATAGAGATGGAGTAGGGCAACTAAAACAAGCCTAATGTGCTCCGAAATTTTCAATTGTCTTTTTATCTACTATGTAAATTATTGAAGCCCTCTATTATAAGGTTCAGCTCAAATTTAAAAAATTTTACTTTAAAATTTATATTTCCAATTTAATTTTAAATTTGAATACAAAATACATACATATGTATTTCAAAAATTTATTTAAAAAATATTTTTAAAAAATGTAATTTTTTTCTTTAAATATTTTTCCCATCTTTATTTTTTATTTTCTTTTGATCTAAACAAAGATTACACTTTGCATTAAAAAGAAATATAAAAGCAAAAGGTCAAAGAATCTTAATGAGAAAATTGCTTATTGCAAAGGTTTAAATTTGAACGTGATTGTCTGGGCGCCATCCTCTCTTGGCTAGTTAATTTTCTAATTTTCTGCCGAGCCGATTACATTAAAGGTTTTGATTAATGTACTTCTGTTCAATAAAATAAGTTATCAGCGAAAATCCACCGGCTGTAGACCCTAAATTCCTTAGTTTTGCCTCGGCGCCCAAATTTGCCGCGCCCAAACAGGACGGATTTAAAAGTTTAAAAATTTAATTGTTAAGCTACCGTATCCCTTTTCTTCTCAAAACTTTTGCACATCACTCTGTTTCTTTTCCTTATTTTCAATGCTATTTTCATCCATATTTTCTCTAATTTCACAAGGGTTATACACTTCTCCATTCTCAATTTGTAATTTTTTCTGCTAGAATATTCTCACTCCTCCTTAATTTATTCACTTATAAAAGCAATGTTTGCCTATAAATTTCCGTCATTTAGATTTATCCTTTCATTCCGATGCTGTTTTTAATGGCGAAATATTGCCAATAGTTTTTTAAGGGTAAAAGGGGATTTTCTACGTAATTTCCTTTATTTTCTGATTTATTCTTTTAATAACCAAGGAAACGAGATTTTTTAAAAACACGTCCAATACCCTAGAGATGTTTTCGAAAATTAACGTTAAAAGATCCTCTACTCCTTATAAATCCCCCATTTTTCATTCCTATTCCCTTTTCAAAATTCTAATTCCCCAATTTTTTAACAGTTTAAGTTTTTGTGCTTGTACGTGGTGAAGTTTGACGAGAGGACGAAGAGGCGAAGTTTTGAAGTTTTTTGACGTGTTGGAACAGTGACAAATCTTGTTGACCAATATGAGCTCAGGAGTGGAGTGCTATCGCTGCCATGAAACGGTTTTTGAATTTTTGGGTGTTTAGTGTTTGGAGTTGTAAAGGGGGGAGGAGTGTTTTGCAACGGCACAACTTAAGGGGCACATCTCGCGGGAATGTCCGAACAATGATGGTGGTGGCGGCGGAAGAGGTGGTCCACGCGGAGGAGGTTTTTTTTGATTTTTTAACATTCAAAATTTATTTTAAAATTTTAAGGCGGCGATGGAGGACAATCCAAGTGCTACAACTGCGGACGCTATGGACATTTTGCACGTGAATGCAGAAGTGGAGGCGACGGAGGTGGAGGCGGACGTCGTGATGACCGTGGTGGAGGACGTGGTGGTGGCGGAGGAGGCGGCGGCGGCAAGTGTATGGTTTTGACTGATTTTATTTTGGGAGTTAAGAGTTTCGGTTGATTTTTTAGCTCCAATTTTTGGGTTCTTTATCCTCCAGGGAGAAGATTTTTTTGGAATTCTCCTGTGAATTCCCTAACAATCCCCTTTTAATTAAATTTCTATCAGGTTATAACTGCGGCGGTTTTGGACACTATGCTCGTGATTGTGAAGGAGGAGACGGTGGTGGCGGCGGAGGAGGTCGCGATCGTGGAGGACGTGATGACCGTGGTGGTGGAGGACGTGGAGGGGATATGAAGTGTTACAATTGTAAATATGAATTTTGGAAAGGATTTTAAAATTTTATATTTAGGTAACAAGTATGGCCACATGTCTCGTGATTGTCCAGAAGGCGGTGGAGGTGGCCGTCGTGGTGGTGGAGGAGGTGGTGGCAATCGTAATTGTTACAATTGCGGACAGGATGGTTAGGAATTTTTTCTTTGGGCTGGGAACTTATGGGCTTTTCCCTTCCTTTTTCTCCTTTATTGTTTATGGCATAAGGGAGGCAATTTTGAGAGAAAACGGGAAGAATGGGGTCAATAAAGTTCATAACTCTGCTTACATCCTCCTCAAAAAATAACATTAAATTCTCAGGTCATATCAGTCGTGATTGTCCTGATAAGCGTGACCGTTGAAGTGTTGATGGAGCACCAACGCTATTTTAAAGTTATTTGGTTGGAAATGCAAGGAGAAAGACTTGAGAGAAAATTAAACGTTCCAATTTTCCATTTTATTTAAAATTTATTTTTGTTTGAAAATCTGATTGACGTTGGTTTAATTTTGTTATATCTTTATTTATTTTTTGACATTTTCAGATTTTCATAAATTCTCTCTTTGCTCCTTTACGATAAAATTGTTGCTCTTTTGCTGACAAGGGAACATTCCGAACTGTGACCAAAAATTTTCAAATAAAAATTATACCAACGTGTAGAGCATGGTCGAAAGCCAATTGTAGTAGGTTTCTTTTTTGGCCCTGACCCCCATTTCGAAAAGTTATAGGGCTTCAAAGTTTCCGACTTTTGGAACGGTTGAGTCGCCCTCATAAAGAGAGATTTTTCTTTTATTAAGGAGAAAAATAAGACTCCCTTCCTCCTTTTTTCCTTTCCTTTTCTTTTCCAATATTAGTTAAAGAAAGAGAAAAAGAGGAGAGAAAAGAAAAGGAAAAGAGGCGTCTCTGCCTTGCAGCTAATGTCAATTAAAAAGGAAAGAGGAGGAGTCAGAGAAGCCTCTTTTCCTTTTCTTTTCTCTCCTCTTTTTCTCTTTCTTTAACCAACATAGGAAAAAAAGAGGAAAGGAAAAATTGAGAAAAGGAGTCTCATTTTTCCCTTTAGGAAAGAAATAATAAGAAAAGTGAGGGCGACTCAACCGTTCCAAAAGTCGGAAACTTTGAAGCCCTATAACTTTTCGAAATGGGGGTCAGGGCCAAAAAAGAAACCTACTACAATTGGCTTTCGACCATGCTCTACACGATGGTATAATTTTTATTTGAAAATTTTTGGTCACAGTTCGGAATGTTCCCTTGTGAGCTTATAATTTTTGGTTTAATCCAAAAATTATTTAAAAATATTTTAAAAATTCTTTAATTTTAATTTTTCTTTAGAATAATTTGATTTTTAACAGTTTAAATTTTTGACATATTAGAAAAATGACATTATTAGATACTGGAGATGGTGGTGCTGGGTTACCGCCACCGTCTGGTGGAGGTAAAATTTTTATTTTTAACTCTAAATCTATTTTGTGATTTTAAGGTGGAGATGATAGTAAAGAGAAATGAGAGAATTATAAGAAAGAATCGACGGAAATGCAAGGAAAAAACCTAAGAGAACAATAATTTAAAATATGCATATCAATTTCCGTTTTAGATAAAATTGCTTTTAAAATTTTTATAATTTTTGGTTGCAAGGTATGCACGAAAAATTGCCGAATATGTCTTCGCTAAACGATGGCCGTGCTTCGCTCAGTCGTGCTCGCTTCGCTCGGCCGTCGTTCCGCTCGACATGCCCGGCTTCCTCCGCAGTGGCAAACTTTTTTCCGCGAAAACATGGGTACTTATTTCCTCCCCGCCCCCCCCCCCCCCCCAGTCCGCAATTCAGTTGAAGTCGACGAGCTCTTTCGAATGAGCTATAAGTTGTATAATCCAATCTTCTACCCCATAATCGAGCTTACTCCCCCTATGGTTTTTTCTTATGAATGGGGGAGAAGACGGATCAACTAGTGGAGAAAGTGGCGGGTCACCTGTGTTATTGGAGGTTCTAAAGAAGGAACCTATAAATTAAAGTATGATGTAAAAAGAATCTTAAAATTAAATAATTAAAATGCAAGGAGAAAAACATTTAAAAGAACAATAATTTAAAATGTATCATTTTCTCTTCACTCCTTTATCGATAAAATTGATTTTTAGCTAATCAAAAAATATATTAGGGTAACAAAGTAGATAATCAGAAATAAATTACAAAATTCCAAATAATCAACAAAATTTCTTTTCTGGCAGTTTGTGGTCGTTTTCTCGTTTATCCTCAATTAATTGTCGCTTTCTACTATTTAAATTGTTTACTTTTTGAAAGACAAGTATAGGCCTTTCAAACCCTTAAAATTTTTTAATTTTGAAAATCGAAATTTTTTTAAAAATTAACCTCGTGTCACAGCTTTAGGAATTCCCAATTGTTGACATTCTACAAATCCAACTTCATCAATTAAATAATTTTTAAATTGGTCAGGTTTAAATTTAATATTTTTGTAAGTCTCAAACATTTCTGGCTGAAGAGGAAAATAAATTTTTAAAAAATATTTTTTAAATTTCTAACCATTGTTTTTGCTCGTTTGTAATATTTTGACCAATCCTGCAATTCTAATAGTAAACGTCCGCCTAAATTAATAATCATTAATTTCAATTTATGTTTAAAATAGACAAATTTTTTATGATTGACGGAGTCGGGCCTCATTACATAGGCTGGAGAAACGGTACCCTATAATGAGCTGTATCATAAATAGAGGGTATTTTTTACGAGGTGTACTTTTGTCAAATAAAGGGTAACTTAAAAAACGGGGTTTATCTTAAATAAAAAATACTTTTAAAAAGGAGTATCTTAAATTATAGAGAATCGCTTAGGCACCTCCCCCAACCAAGGGTCTCAACTAAATTTTAAGACGTATCCAAGGTGTATCTATTATTTTTTTATAAAAAAACCAAACCTCTATTTAAATGTTTAAAAGTTCTTTTAAAAAATCTTTTAATTCCTTCATCCCCCCAATTTAAATGTATCCATTTTGAAATACTTAAAGCCAAAATAACGTCATATTCTTCTCGTATCATTTCAAGATATTCGTCAGATTCTAATACATAATTCTCTCGAGAAAACCAAACATTGTAATTTTTTATAGATACTGGGAATTTTCCAATAAACTTTTTTGAAAAAAGGGATTAAAATGAATTAATTAAAATACAGGGGAGGCCCCCATAATTGGCTTTTTGTTAGTCTTTCAGGGACTTTGGTCCTTGAAAGGTTCCCCCCCTAATTCCCATAATTAGAATCCTATTTAAAATAAAGGTGTGGAGCAGGGATAGAGTGAATTACGATTTTCGACCCAATTTCCGGTACGAGGGTTATTTCCGACCGACTCATAAAAAAGAAAGGAGTGGGGAGGTTTAAAACTTCTTCCATTAACCTATACATGAAAGTAAGCGAAAGGAAAGGAAGATCCAAATAAAAGCCTAATCGACCCAATTTCCATTGTACCGGAAATTGTGTCGAAAGTCGGAATTCAGACTATCTCTGCTCCACATCTTTATTTTAAATAGGATGGAGCCCCAATTAGAATCGGGTAATAGAAGCACCTATTATAATAACTGCCAAGAGGTTCCTGCCTTCTTAATTTATTAAGAATTTTTTTAGAAACTTTAAAAAAAACCTCTTGTCCATCTCCATCATTACATTCAAAATAATGTCTAATATTTTTCCTTGCAACACCAATTAAATGATCATCAATATCAATTCCAAGAATCCATGAAGGTTTTAATTCCTTTGCAATTTCTAAAGTTAAATGTCCAGCATTACAACCAACATCCAAAATTCTTTTTTTATTAAACCATTCTTTTGGTAATATATCCAAACGGCTGAAAGAGAAAAGGAAGGATTTTTTAATTTTTTTAGTAATTGGACTCTCCAACAATTTTCCCACATTTTGAGGCTCCAAAACTTTTTAGTTCCAAATCGCTATCCAAAAAACGAAAATTTTTGAGAGTAAATCGCTGATGTACTAGCGATTGGCACCAAGAAAAGTACAAAGTTTTGGCTTACAGTTCGAGATAAGGGTTGGCGTTTCCAAGGAAATCTCCAAGTATTCAGAACCGAAACCGATATCCGGACTCTTTTCGGTTCAGGCTACCCGGAGCCGCCAACCTTATTCAGGGAGACTCCCTTGCATTTGGTATCCCTAATCTAATATACACCTCGTTATAGATCCTTTAGTTCACGGAGGGGTACCTTATATTCAGGACACTTATAAAAAATTAAAAAAAAATTTTTTTAACTAACGGATCGTGGTCAAATCCTTTCGTCCTCACACCATAATAACGATTAAAATTTCCATAACGAAAGCGTTCATTTCTACAAAAATAAAAAAATATAATTTTAATTAAATTAAAAAAATACTTTTTTTCTTTCTTCTCTGAAATAACCAAACTATTTGTGGCTGTAGAAGAAGATGAGGGGAGTCCAGAAGGGGATGAAGTATTTGAACAAAATTCTTCCTCCATTTTAGGTCAAAATTAATTTTTAAAAATTTTGTCTAAAAATTTTTTTAGCTAAAAATAAATTTAAAAAAAATTTTTAAAAAAATATTTTTTGACGAATAAAAACGAATAAAAATTAAATTTAAAATAATCTCTAAAATATTTATGTCTAAAAAATATACAAAAATATCATTTCACAAGAGAGGTATAAAATATACAAAATTAAAATTAATTTAATATATTCACTCATCTATTTTTCATTAATTCCCTCTGGTGGACAACTTATTGACCTTCTCTGATTTTTAGCTAAAAATTAAAAAATTAATAGAAATGAAAAGATTTTTTGTAAATTAAACAAAAAATTACTACAAAAATTTTTTTTATATTTCATCAAAGTTAAATTTTTTTAATTTTATTTTATAATGGAGAACAAAAAGCTGGGATCCATTTACGTCTCTTATTATTTTTTCGATTTTTTTCATTTTTTTTTTAAATTTAGGAAGTACCCATAGGTAGAAAACATCTTTCCTAATTTAAAGCTTTTTACTCTTTGACCCCGAAATCTCAAAATTTAAAGAAATGTAAGTCTCAAACCTGGATATTCCAAACCCTCACCCTAATATCATCCCCAAAACCCCTAATAAACATAAAAATAAATTAAAAATAATTAAAAAGTAACCAAAATCATCATCATTGCCACAAAAATCTCCAATAGAATTATCATCGCAAGGCAAGGAACCTCCTTTCTCTGAAATTATTGATGATTCACTTGATGAAGATTTTTCACAAGAATGAACAAGATTTTCATAATCATCGTCTAAATTTTGTTGTTCAACACCAGCCTTTGGTACAAAAATATCTTGATCTTTATCATAAAATAATTGTGCTCCTTTAAAGACGTTTATATTTGGTGGAACCTAAAAAATAAATTAATTTAGGTAAGAAATTCACGGACAAAATTGAAACTTATAGAAATTAAAAAAGAGAGACTATTAGGCAGGTATGAAATACCAACCCCGATAATATCAAACTCAAAAATTTCAAACACTCCAGAAAACCTTTCTATTATTTAAAATTATGACGTCATTTCTGTGGTTTAGTATTTCGGTAGTTTTTGGTAGTTTGACGCTTCGACCTTTTGGTATTACGGCACGTTCAGGACCTAACAAAGGATAATTTCGAATTGGCCTAAACCCCTAATTTTAATATTAGGAGCTTCCTCTTCCTTCTTTTTTCTGCAAATGTCCCCAAATTCAATTTATTTAATTAAAAAAAATTACCAAAAGTATAGAATTAAATTCAGGTAAATATTTTTCAACAGGCAAATAATTTCCAACCCAAATTCGTTCTTCCTCATGATTATCCATTTTTATTTTTTTATTATTTGGTTGTTCATTAAATAATTTTTTAAATTGTTCAATATTTAAATTATTTGTTAAAATTTGGTTTTCTTTTAATAAAGAAGTTTGTAAATGTTCTAATAATAAATTATTCCAATTGTGAGGACGAGAAGTTAATTCTGTGAAAAAAATTTTTTTCAATTTAAAAATTAAAATGGAAAAGCCCATATCAGTTGAGTTCCATCTTTACCCCGTCTATATTCACAACGCAAAATTTTGGCTACATACGCAATTTAGCCCTCTCCTGAAATCCCACCCTTGGAATATGTCTTGACGGTTTATAGGTCAAAATTAGTCGAAAAGATTGAAATCCAAAAAAAGGATGCAGCTGGAGGAATTGGCCTCTCTATCCACAATATCCGCTCAACGGGTGAAAATGGGCTCATTGTCAGTCGGAAAATAAACAGTTCGATTCAACTGATGGGTTGTCCCATAAAAACTATTTAAACTAACCCAACTTTTCAAAAAAAATTTCTAAAAATAAATTTAAACCTTGAATCATTTTTTCACAAATTTGTCCCTTTAAACTCATCGCCAATAAACAAAGTATTTTGTCACAATCTCCAAGTAATTTTACATCTGCTGTATAATTAGGCAGCAATTCTCGATTAATTAAAATTTGAGGAATTGAATTGTCAATATTATAGGGGATTAGACTAACTGGGCGAACTTGTAAAGAAGAACCAATAATTATTAATAAATCAACATTTGTTGAATCTATAGCCATTTGATTATGAAATTGGTCAGTCAAATCTTCTCCAAAAAATATTATATTTGGTTTGATTACACCGATTTTGCATTTTTGGCAATAGGCTACCTTCTAAAGAAAAAAAATTTTTTTTTAATATTTTAATTATAAAGAGAGATCCAGCTGACTAATCGGGGATCTAACAATAAGATCTATTAAAAGAGAGAAAACTCTCCGACGTCTAACTGGCAAGAGGTTGCAGAAACGATACTTGACAGGCTAATCTTTACCTCTAGCTAACTTAATTAGCCCAAACCAGACCTGGTCACGGATACTAATTTTGATATCCGTATCCGGATATTTACGGCGGATACAGGCGGATATCCGCAGGCATTTTGGTATTATCTGTATCCGTATCCATGACCAGGTCTGGCCCAAACTATGTTTATATATAAAATCATCCTCTAAGGAATCTCGTCTTTCTATTGCTAGTTCTGGATAAGTTTTGATAATTTTACAGTTTGCCTTAACGTTGGGTTTGGGTTCACTCAAAAAAACAAACCTTTTGAAAAACATTTTCACGAATTTCTTCTGAATCAATTTCATTTTTACAATTTAAACAAGTTGAACGAGCAAAAGAACCTTAAAAATTTTTTTTATAAATATTAATAATCCTTTCAAACCATGACATTCAATCAAATTATTTATTCCAGCCAAGCGTTCCAGAGTATCAATATTTTGAGTATAATTTCTCAAAAGTTTCCCTTCTTCTTCCAAAAATTTAATGAATTTGTGAGAAATGGAAGGACGGAATTGGCCAGGGAAAATTTCCTAAAAAATTTTTATTTAAAAAGAATTTAAAATTTTTAGAAAAAGTTGACCATTATGTACCCATGACAAAATTCTTAAAAAATATTTTCTTCAGATACCTTTGCAAAAGCATAAAATGGCCGAGGATTACGACGAAAAAAGTCAATATCAAACATTGAGTGAGGATCAGGCAATTCAGGAAAATCATCTTTTAATCGAGCATAAATTCCTTTTTCTGAACGAAAATCGGGTATTCCACAACTAACAGAAATTCCAGCTCCTGATATAATCATTATTGATTTACTACGCCTGAAAAATAATAAAAAATTATTTTAAATCCCAAAAATTCGCACAAAATCCCAAAAGCCTCAATTTAAAATTTTAGAAAGTCAAGGGCAAATTTGCAAACAAAAAACAAGTCTATTGAAAATGTATGGACAAGCATACTGAAGTTATCATAATAAAATTTAATGGGTATCCAATGTCGTTTAATTAGTGAAGAAAAAAGAGGAATGAAATGGACATTGGCTGCGAATAAACCACAAATTCGTAATAGCCGATGGGCAATTAGATGGCCTAGCGCATTAGGCCATAGTTTGGAGAGAAAAGGATTGAAATCCTTTTTATCATAAAAGCTTATTGGGTGTCCGTATAAATCGGTCAGATAACGCCCTCTCTTATCACCAAGAATATTTCCCTATCCCATTAAATATCACCCCATAAATTCAAAAAATTAAAAGAAAAACCTAATTAATTCCACAGCATCCTCAAAAGTATTCCATTGCGGCAATTTCTCTCTACTTCTAATTTCACACAATTCTTGTAAAAGTTGTAAAATCCAAATGTCAGGTATATTTGTTGGAATAGAATACATTGGATACAAAATTGAAAGGACGCCTCTAGGCGATATTCCCTTCCGAATTAATTGTTGGACTAGAAACATTGATTTTGTTGGTTTTTTCCACTGAATTGAAGGGTAATTTGGAGTTTCCTGGATAATTAAATTTGGATTAGAATTATTTGAATTTTGAAAATTAGAGGTTGTTGAGGAGGTAGAAGGTTGACATTCACTAGGGGAAATTAAATTTTGTTGTTGTTCATCTTCTATTTTCTCTACAATTTCGTTACAAATAACAGACGAAATATCATCATCCATTAAAGGGAAAAGGAGGTAATATTAAAAAATTTTCTAAAAAATAAATTTAAATTAATTAAAAAATAATTTGGCAGGTTGGCAAGCCATCGAAAAAAATTCAAAAATAAACGAGAACGAGGAACGAGATTTTTTAATTTTTTAAAATCTATTAACAAATTCTTAAAAATAACAAAAAATATAAATTAAATTACTCATCATCACTATCATTAAAAACAATACGAGTTGGAAACATTTTTGGTTCATTACTTCTTTGAATTGAGTTTTCTTCAAATTTTTTACCATTTTCATTTTTGTCCTCTTTTTTCTTCTTTTTTAAAATTGATTTTAATGGAATATCAGAAATTCTAAAAATTAAAAAAATTAAAAGGTGTTAAATTTAAAAGTAAATTTATGTGAAAAAAACATGACATTGTCCGCGTTGAGGATTCTTAAAACGCAAGATGTGCGAGATTTTTGTGAAAGCATACTATTATATAATTTCTGACGCACTTATGTCCCATGGAGTGCCGTTAAACCTTTCATTTTTAAAAATAGGGTTCGGCACATCGCTACTATGTACGCCCTCTTAAGCCCATATTCCAACCCGCTCATTGTACGCCCAATCCTCGTAAAATGTTTTTGCAAATTTGTGTAAGATAGGATCAAACTCTCATTCTAATTCAAAATTAAAAAACCAAAAGCTAAAAACCTTTTTTGATTTTCCTCCTCAATTTGTTTTTCCTCTTCAACCTGATATTCTTCTTCTTCTTCAATTTCCTTTTTCTCAACAACCATCTTCTCCTCTTCAACTTGCTTTTCCTCCTCCTCACCAAGCTCTTCTTCTTCGATTTCCTTCTTTTCTTCAATCTCCTCCTTTTCTTCTTCAACTTCCTTATAAATTACTTCAGTTTTATTCCCTTCACATTTCTCAACCTTTCTATTTTTTAATTTTTCTGCTTCATCTTTAATTGCTTCCCAAGCTTTTTTACAAAGCCCGTAATTTTTATAATTTAAAGAATTTTGAAGGAAATTAATAAATTTAGATTCTTTTCTGGGTATATTTGTATATCCTTGTATTTTTCTAAGTAAACCTTTTAATTGCGGGTCATTAACAAATTTAATAGCAGCTCGAACTTGATTAACCCAACTATCTTGTTTTACTTCTCCCTGAAAAATTAAATTTAAATAATGTCGAACATTAAATTTTAGATGCCTCTAGAACTGAAAATTGTAGTTTATGAGGGATAGTTGGGGATTTGTTTAGGCAACTCCCAATCAGCAGATATGGGCGAAAAGGGAAGGATGAGAGGAAAGGAAAGGGGGAGCCTAAAAAAGAACAAAAACTTTTCAAGGTAGGAAAAGAAAATTTTCAATGTATTTTTCAATCAATTTTGAAGGTATCTAGAATCAGGCACGTAGCCAGGATTTTTTTCGGTAGGGGGGGAGGCAAGGTGGGAAATTTTCTGCGGCGAATTTTTAGCACCTCAGACGAAAATTTTGAGAATTTTAGAAGGCTATAAGCCAAAAAACTTAATTTTGAAGGCTATGAAGCTATATTTCTCCCTTTTTCAACACCGGGGGCCTGTTTAGAATGTGGATTGACCGTCTAAAAAATTCCCTTTAAATTTTAAAAATTTAAAAACAAAAAATAAACCTTATTAATTTTAGCAGTATAATTAGCTCCTCCATATTTTTCATCTTCAGAAATACATTTAATATGATGATCATAATTATTAATAGTAAATACAACTTGACAATCCATACAAGAAAAAGAGCCATTTTTACATTTTGAAGAATGTTTTTGAACTTGATTTTTCTTTAAAGATTCTCCACAATTGTCACAGATAAAGAAAACCATTTTTTAACAAAAATTGAGAAATTTTCAAGAAAAACTTAATAAATTAAAAATTTATTAACCAAAATTTAAGAAAAACGGGATGGGACGAATTGGGGAATTTTGTACAGTGGGACGAATTGGGGTGGGACGAATTAACGAAAAGAATAACAGCCAGTTTGGCGTAGGGAACGACATATCAACGTTTTCTTAAGAAAAAAACGTGTCTTGTGATTTCGCCAGTGGCAGTAAACGTTTTTAAAAAATAATTTTTCCCGCAAAAATAATTAGAGTAACATTAAAAAATAATTGTGAATAATCTAGACATTAAGGAAGATAGGAGCATTTTGAGGGAACATCGTGAGATTTGGGAGGCTTAAGAAGAATTTTAAATACTTCCTGGTTCGAAAAACAAAACCATTGTGGTTGATAAATGAGATAAGTTAATACTGAAATATTGACTGCCCAAATCACTCATAATTATTTTTTATTGTTACTCTAATTGGTTACTGCCTAAATCACTCACTGCCCATATTACTCACTGCCTAAATCGCATACTGGCGAAATCACCAGACACGAGAGCAATATGCACGGAGCAGTTCAACTGAGTCCCCACGATTGAGTCCGCACGATTGAGTCCCCACGATTGAGTCCCGGCACAATTGAGTCCCCACGATTGAGTCCGCACGATTGAGTCCCCGTTGTATATACCTCAATTGAGTCCCCGTTAAAAATTCCCGGTAGGAATTTTTATTTTCCTAGATTTTTTTATTGTTTTTTTTTATTTTTTTGTTTTTCTTTTGGGGTTTGCAACTAATTTTGTTAATTAGTTGACCGAGCATCCACTCAAGTCCATCCGAGCACTGAATTTTCTCAATGAGGACGAGAGGGAGGACGAGAATCTTGTGTAGGTAAAAGTTTAATTTTTATTTTTTAATTTTAGATTTTATATTTCAGGTTGGTCTAACTTTGCTCATCACGTGACGGACTTCATCCCACGGCTGCAACGATGGGAAATTTGAAAAGGTTTGGAATTTTTATTTTGTTTTTCGTTTTTATTTTTAAAATTTTTTAGTTGATTTTCGTCAGTTTCTGACTGGCGATTTTCAAGTTCACAGTTTCTGAAGGAACGAAGGTGGTGAACTTAGGAGAACAAAAAACGAAAGAAAGGCCCTTCTTTGGCACAATAATTGAAGCTAGACTTTGGTTTTTTTTAATTTTTTTGATAAAATTTTTAAAAAATATTTTTTTATTTTTTTTTCACATTTTGATTTTCTCCCGTATCCAGGTAAATTCTGCCGGAGTCCGGAAATTAGGAAGGAGTTTTTACGTTCGTAATTTAGATAGTTTCCCCTACCCTCCATAGCAGCACAAAAAGTTTTTCCAGCGAAGATTCTGTTGGTCAAAATTTGTTCAGAATCATTCAATCAACTTGATTTTGGTCTTATTCAACTCATCTCGTCGATCCCTTTCGAATGAGCTATTTTTTGTTTATTCGAATGTTTCGCAACAAAAATTCCCCATGGAATTCCACCAAAAAATCCACCATTTCGAGCCCCATATCTCGGCGAGAACTTGTTCAACAATGTTGATTTTGGTGTCATTCGACTCACTACTTTCGAATGAGCTGTCATTCAAAAAATCTCTCGATATCCCTCCTAATCCCCAAACCCACAATATCCATCTTAATCTCTCCGAATTTGTTGATATCTGCCTTAATTCAACCGATATCCCCGCTTAAATCTACTTATATCCCTTGATATTCACCAATATCCATCTTGATACCTCGATGTCGCATACAAGTCCCCTGATATTAACATTAATCCCTCCAAATCCCCAAATATCCCTCTTAATCTTTTTTAATATAATTAAATCTAGGGGACTCAATTGAGGTATATACAACGGGGACTCAATCGTGCGGACTCAATCGTGGGGACTCAATTGTGCCGGGACTCAATCGTGGGGACTCAATCGTGCGGACTCAATCGTGGGGACTCAATCGTGCGGACTCAATTGAGGTGTACCGTAATATCAACGTTTTGCGCCAAACAACTGCGAATCAACGTTTTTGTATCTTTTTTTCTCTGCTCTGCCATTATATTTCTCTTCTTTTTTTCTGTTAATTTTCGTTCGTGTAGTCTCTCCTTTGGAATTTGCAATTTTCCATTTTTATAAATGTTCAGTCTTTTTTCTGTAATTTTTAGGGATTTTTCCACATATATTCTTACTAGATGGATGAATTTGAAAATGAATTAAGAGTCGCATTCGAAAGCGGCGATCTCGAAGAACCTGTGACACCGTCATCGAAACGTCGAAAATCCGATTTCCTTAAAGGATTAATCTAGGAAGTCCGAAGAGTAGGCGATCATGGAATGAATGTTTGTACTTTCGTGTCTTCCAATTCCTGGAGACATTTCCAAAATCAGAAAAAATATATCTGATTTAGTCAACAAAAATCTTACCTATCTTGGGCTTGACATGTCAAAAATCGTTTTTATTACTGATGAGGGATCTAATGTAAGATAAAGAATCGTTTAAAGAAATTGTTAACAAATATTCTGGAAATCACACAGAGAGAATGGAACGAATTTTTTCCAAGCAAAATCTTTTTGAAGCTTATATTCAAACTGTTTCAATGTTGGAAGCACCTTTGAAAATACTTGAGGTAAAAAATAATATTGAAATTTAGAAAATTTAAATTTTATGCCGAAAATAAATGTACAATGAACAGATTAATGATAGAAATGATCAAATTGGAAAATGCTTGGAGAGGAGAAGTAAGAGGAGATGATTTAGTCAGAGCAGCTTTAGCCAAAAGTGGATTCTGAATATGATTTACAAGTATGGTTTGATTGGATTCTTGAGAGAACAAGAGAATGTCGAAGTACTAAATTACTCAGGTCTGTATTTCATGAAGAATTTTTTAAGGTATTTAATAGGGTCGTTGGCGATTTTAAAAACCGAAAACCGGGGATACCGGTTGATAATCGGTTGCCAACAACCCTAGTATTTAAATTAATAAGTATAAGTAATATTTTTTTCAAGGCTGCATGGGATGTACAAATTATTTGTAAACCAAAACTTCGTCGTGATTATTCAAAAAGTTACAAACAGAAATTAAAAACGATGATTTGGCCGAGAAAGGACTAGATTTTGAGATGGAACAGTATGAAACTGGATGTAAGAATTTGGGAGGACATAAGCTAGATTTGCTAAAATTTTGGAAAGAAACTTCAAACAAAATTCCACTTCATTACAATCATTATTTAAAGATGGATAAAATTTTGTTGTTTTATATATTTTTTCAATTTTAATAAAAAAATTCCTACTCGTAAAATTCTTTTAAATTCCAAAGGAGAGACTACACGAACGAAAATTAACAGAAAAAAAGAAGAGAAATATAATGGCAGAGCAGAGAAAAAAAGATACAAAAACGTTGATTCCGTGCCCGCTCAACTCATCTAATCCTTAACTCATCCACACGCCCAAAAACGCTCAACTCATCTAAACGGCTAAAATTCCTTAACTCATCCACACGGCCAAAAACGCTCAACTCATCCAATCCTCAACTCATCTAATGCTTAACTCATCCACACGCCCAAAAACGCTCAACTCATCCAATCCTTGAAATATCGGCCGGTTGAGTCCCTAGCCGGTTGAGTCCCTGGTCAGTTGAGTCTCAACCGGCCCAAGACTCAACCGGCCCAAGACTCAACCGGCGGTAATCAACCACTCAAACGGCCGGGACTCAACTGACCAGGGACTCAACCGGCTAGGGACTCAACTGGTCATGGACTCAAACGGCCAGGGACTCAACTGGTCATGAACTCAGACGGCCAGAGACTCAACTGGTCATGGACCCTACTTACCAGAGACTCAAACGGCCGGAGACTCAAACGGCCAGAGACTCAACTGGTCATGAACTCAGACGGCCAGAGACTCAAACGGCCAGGGACTCAACTGGTCATGAACTCAGACGGCCAGGGACTCAAACGGCCAGGGACTCAAACGACTGGTACTCAATAGTCTCGTTCCAAAGGATTGGATGAGTTGAGCGTTTTTGGGCGTGTGGATGAGTTAAGCATTAGATGAGTTGAGGATTGGATGAGTTGAGCGTTTTTGGCCGTGTGGATGAGTTAAGTGTTAGATGAGTTAAGAATTGGATGAGTTGTAGGGTAGCCGTTGATTCGCAGTTGTTTGGCGCAAAACGTTGATATTAACGTTGTTCTGGCGTTATGTATTTAAAAAAAAGTTGTTCGCGAATAATTGTTGATATTATTAAATCAACTTTTTTTTCTTAAGAAAACGTTGATATGTCGTTCCCTAGACTATCCCTAGAATGTATTCTAAAATGAACCCCGAGAAAATTCAAACTCCCACCCTACTAATTCTCAAACAAAATCCACTTAACCACACTGTCCATCTGTCTTCCGACCAATTGTCCTATTTTCGTATTGTCTTTTTGGGACACTTTGTCCCCATAAATTTGTGTAAAAAAATAAATTTAAAAAGAAAAGGTAAATTTAAAAGATTAAATTATTTGAATAAAATTATAGCTAAAATTTAACATTTTTATAATTTAAAAGAAATAAAATTGCACGAAAAAAAATATTATTTTTCTTTAATTTTAATTTATAAATAAACTCTTGGCTTCATCCTTTCCTCCTCTCTCTTCCTTTCCTCCTCCCTTTTCTTTTCCATTTTTTCTTCATATTCCATTGCCAACAATTTCCCCTTAATTTTAAGATTGAAAACCTATTAAAGAGAAGAAAAATACCCGAATTCGAAAATATTTCAACTTTGCCTTTTTCAACTCAACGTCCAAATTTTCGCCCGGTTTCAAAGCAAAAGAATCTTTAAAAAATTAAAAAAAAATTTTTTAAAGTCAATTATTCTTCACTTTTCTAATTAATATAAAATAGGTTCATTATACAACAATGTTCTCCCATACAAGTCAACTCCGATTAAAATGCCGACAAGCCCTTCCAGTTGTCCCCAAACTAGTAGAAGGTAACGGGACTGAGTTTCAAAAGATTGTTGAATGAGAGGGATCTTGTCGACTCTAGCTAGCACTATAAACGGAGTCGACTGCATTTCTTCATCAGTCCTTCAAGGTTGGGGGAAACTAGCCGTTTGAAACATCACAAAACCCCTTACACCCCAGAGGAGTGCCCAAACTGCTTTTAGAAAGTAAAAAGTGAATACCGAAAGGTGAAACACCAAAATGGCGAAATAATCCACCTCCTACCTCTGCCTACCTTTCCCCTCAAAAATTATAAAAAACAAAAATTACCCTCCACAGATGGTTGAGGATTTTGTTGCTGCTCCATCTTTTCAGAATTATTTTGAGACAATTTCTGTCCTTCTTTATTAATTTCTACCAAATTATTAAACAATAATTGTTCTGTAATTTGTACTAAAAATAAAATAAAAATGAATTTAAGTGAAATAGATAAAATGTCAAAAAACGAGCAAAATTTTGGTTTTTTCAATTTACTTTCCCTCATTCTTCATCTCCCTCGAAAAAGAAAGAGGAAGAAGTGCTTTTACAATATTCTAGAGGTTTGCCAGTTTCGAGTGTGTTGATTCTTAATATGATCTCAAATTCCACCTATTTCTAATCCCGGACCCGAACTTGAAGAGACGGTCTATTTCTAGAATGAACCCAGAGAAGATTCAAACTCCCACCCTTTACTAATTCTCAAACAAAATCCACTTAACCACTCTGTCCAATTGTCTTCCGACCAATTGTCCTAATTTCCTATTGTCTTTTTGGGACACTTTGTCCCCATAAATTTGAGTAAAAAAGCAAATTTAAAAAGAAAAAGTAAATTTAAAAAATTAAATTATTTTAATAAAATTGTAGTTAAAATTTAAAATTTTTATAATTTAAAAGAAATAAAATTGCACAAAAAATTATTATTTTCCTTTAATTTTAACAATCACAGGTCCATGTATTTGCCTTCTTCCTTTTCTCCTCCCTTTTCTTTTCCATTTTTTCCTCGTATTCCATTGCCAACAATTTCCCTTTAATTTTAAGATTGGAAACCTAAAAATTAATTTTTTTTTTAAATTTTGATTGAAAAATAGAGTAGTTAGACCTGAATTCGAAAATATTCCAATTTGGCCTTTTTCAACTCAACGTCCAAATCTTCGCCAGGCTTCAATGCAAAAGAATCTTTAAAAAATAATTAAAAATGTTTTGTTCTCTCATACAAGTCAACTTCGCCTAAAATGCCGACAAGACCTTCAAGTTATCCCCAAATTAGTCACTCGTATTAGAGATCAAAATAGCATTTCCAAGGTCCCGTAACGGGATTGAGTTTCAAAATATTGAATGGGAGGGATCCTTCCCGTGTCAATCTCTAGCTAGCATTATAAACGAAGTCGACTGCATTTCCTTGTCAGTCCTTCAAAGTTGGGGGAACCTAGTTGTTTGAAACATCTAAAAACACTTACACCCCAGAGGTCTACCCAAACTTCTTTTAAAAAGCAAAAAGCGAATACCGGAAGGTGAAGCATCAAAAAGGCAAAATTTTCCACCTCCTATCTTTGCAAGGCTACCTTCCCCCCAAAGAATCGTAAAATAAAATTACCCTCTGGTTGAGGATTTTGTTGCTGCTCCATCTTTTCAGAATTATTTTGAGACAATTTCTGTCCTTCTTTATTAATTTCTAGCAAATTATTAAACAATAACTGTTCTGTAATTTGAAGTAATTGTTCAGAATTAATTTGTGACTAAAAATAAAAATGAATGAGCGAATATGACAAAATGTCAAAATTCCCTCCTGTGACATTTTGTCGAATTGGTGGATTTTACATTTATTGGCAATTTGTCCCACAAATTATTAAGATTTTCAAAACATCAATTCGACAAAATGCCACAAGAGGAAATTTTGACATTTTGTCACACTTCACGAAAAATTTATGCCAATGAGTAAACTCCAAGAAAATCTTACCAGTTCATTATTATCTTCAGTTTGTTCTTCAATTTTTTGTGCCAATTTACTTTTAAAATCTTCCTCACATTTAATCTTCTTACTTTCCTTTTCTTTTTCCAATTTAAAAAATAATTTGTAAAATTCAGTATTTTTATGTTTAGATTTCAAATGATAAACTAAATTTGTTGTTGTAAAATTGTTAACACTAAAAGTATATTTCTTCTCTTTATTTTCGATACATAATTTGCATATAGCTTCTTTATTGTTGCCTTCTAAACGTTGAAATAAACCGATTTTCCAAATTGTTGCTCTCATTTATTTTTTTTAACTTTTAAAAAAATAAAAATTAAAGGTCAGAAAATACTCGAAAAAATTTTTTTATCAGACAAAAATGACAAAATGATAAGATAAATTATTTAAAAATAAAAGACTATCCAAATCTAGTTATTTTACCACAGCGGGGTTCGAACCTTACACCCTCTCCGTTACAAGTCGGAGGTCTTACCTACTTAACCACAAATTATTTAATGAAGGAAAAATAACTAGTTGCTTAAATAAATTGGTGAGTTGCCTAATTCGATAAATGGATTTTGTAAAACTAAATTTCTAATTAAATTTTTTAACAAATTATTTTTAAAAAATTATTTTAAAAAAATATTTTATATTAAGTAAAATGAATTAGTAAATGAAAAAAGGGAAGAAAAATAAATTTATTAATTTAAGAGGGGAAAACCAATCAATGGACAATTAGTTGGTCTATATAGAGAGAAAGGGAATAAATTAATTGTATACACACAGAAAAAATTTTATTTGTTCATTGGTTAGAGAAAAAAAATAAAAAAATAGTAAAGGAAAACAAATAAAAAATATAAATGGTAAAAATTATTTTAAAAAATTTTTATTTTTAAACATCAGCAGAAACACTAGGCGTGCCTGTTCGGCTAGCAAAATTGCTGTTCACTATATTATTGTCTGCTTGAGGGCCAAGATGAGGTAAAGGTTGAAAACGTGGAGGTGAAAGTGTTTCTATATAAATTTAAAAAAAAAAGTTATTTTTGGATTTTGGGGATTTTGCTGGCAAAAGAAACTCTCGTCCTAATTCTTGTGGATTTATGACGCTCACATAAGTATTTTTTAAATTTTTAAGACCCAAAATTCACGATACAGAACACAACAGAGATAAAAGACGTAGGAGGGAAGGGTCGGATTACCCAAAACCTAAACTTGAATTTTATTCGACATGTGAAGATCCCGAAAAAATTTTTAAGCCCCGATCCGACTTTTTTCCCTCAACACGACCCGGTTCTATCAGTACATATCAGTGCGGTACGCTTATATCTACGGACTAATACCGAGTCCCAGTGAAATCAGAAATGTTAGTGAGTCATGTTTAGTTTACATAATAGAGACCAGACCGAGACGAGATCCCGATCAAAAACCTCGATCGAAACCGAGATTTCGATCGAGATTTCGATTTTTGTACGACACTTCAAGTCCGGTCTCTAATAGTTACCGTTACCCATTTTTCATATTTTTTCGAAGTTCGCCTTTTATGCCTCTTCCGCTTCCGGTTTTTATCTTTCCAATTTTTCCATCTCCCATTTTCCCCAAAAATAACAACCAACTTCTCAATTTTCCACCATTTTGAACAACAGGAAAACGTTGTTGTTGTTGTCCATTAATTACTATATCATTAGGAATACTTGCAGTACTTGCATTAATACTTCGAGGGAATGGGGAGGGTGGGGGTGGATTTAAATTAATTTCATTTTTATTATACGAGGGGGGAATTATTTTTATATTATTATTTTTTGTTTCTTCTTTTGAGGAATTTAATGGAATTAGTTCTGGACGATTATTAAAAGTTGATTTTAGGAGGGTAGATTCATTACTTCTTTTTGAGGAATGAAATTTGTTTGGGTTATTATCTTGTTTGGAGCTTCTATAAAATAAATTTAGAAGTTAAAAAGACTTCCAGATCTCACTATAAGATACCCCCAATACTAGCTACACTTCTATTTAAGAGAAGCCCTTTTTAAGATTTGGTGCTTAATCCCCCTAACTGACCCAATCCGAAACATGACCCGAGACCCCAAACCCGGACTTTTAACGACCCGAAACCCGATCCGAAGAAAATTTTTGGAAACCCGACTTTTTACTCAACCCGGCCCATTCCTGATAAGGTACCCTCTATTTAAGATACCTCTCATTATAAGATATCCTCTATTCAATATACCCCATTATAAGAGACAATTTTTCCAACCCCAAAGGGTATATCTCATCGTGAAATCTATGTTTTTTACCTTTTCGAAAACAGCAAACAAGTTAACAATAACAACAATAAAACGAACAAAATACCAGAAACAAGACAAAGAATAATAAATCCATTATAATAAAAAGTTGAGACAACTTCCTTCACAAAAGAATTTTAATTAAAGATTAAACTAATCAAGTACCCCATATAACACTCCTCCCTGTTCATCAGCACAATAAGCATTGTTTTTAACACCAAAAGGACAATTTTGACAATTGGTGACCTTATAATGAATTTTATTTTAGTGGTAGAGAAAGACCAAGAATTTTCCACAACTAAGGAGAAAGAGATTGATCACTTCAAGACCGTGACCGAGCACCCTTAGAAAACTGAAAGTTGGGTTAGGAGGTCTTGATTTGTCTTTGGATGTCCGGAACAGAAGAACTAAGCAGAAAAAGTACTAGGTTCTTCTAGCCAGTTCGGTTCCTAGCAAACAACCCCCTCCCCCTTACACCTCCCTAGCCCCTCTAACCCACCCCTAAACAACAACCTCCATAGACAACAACCCTTGCCATATCTTAAAACCGCACTTTCACTAAAAGGATTACCCACCCAATATGGCCATGGGCGTTGGGTGCCCCTAAAAGTCAGTTATAAATATAGGAAATTGAAGCCCTCCGGAAACCCAGAACATTCATGATATTTTTAAATGATTTAAAATTATATTTACATCCAAATTTCCCCCATTAGTCCATTTACATTGACTAAAATATCCAGTTTTTACATTCTCACAAATTGCATTATTTGTTGTAATAGATGTAGTATTACAATTTAAATCACAACCAGGACCCATTAAACGTCTACCATCTCTACTTATTCCTCCGGCACACGAGACAGAATAAGTAAATGATAATCTAAAGAATTTTTGAAGGCTTTAAAAATCTGTGTAAACTAAAATGGGAGTCTAAATTCAACAAGATGCTCTCTGAATAAGCAAAAAAATATTATTCAAATCGAAAGACGAAATTTCGAAACAGCTATGGTTTAGACATATTTCGAAATTCGACTTTTTTTAACCCACTCCCCTTTGTATATGGAACGTAGGGGTGTTACGGGTTACTCGAAACCCTAGCTTTTTCGACCCTAAATCTGCCCAGTTTCGAAAACCTGGCCTGAAACCCGACTTTTTCTTAACCCATGACATCCCTGATTCAGAGTTATCACCCAGGTAAGCTTCGTAGTAGTCGGTGGGGAGCATCGTTAAACCACGTTCGCCAGCTTGATTCCTGCTCATGTCAAAGGATAACCTTCAACTAAACTCAAATAAAAATTCTTACTGAGTTCCCAATATTTCCCCGATAAGGTTAACACTTTGCTGTCCACGAATATCAGAAGAATAACCAGAAAATAAATTTAGAGGTTGAATAAAACTGTCAACAAGAGTTACAGTATTTGTTTCATATAAACTTCCATCGGAATCAATTTGAGGACCCAAATTGTAAACTAGAACGGCTATAGCAGACTTGAAATTAATTTTGAATTTTTTAAATTGAAAATTAGTCAAAGTTCGCTATAAGATACCCCTTTGGAGGTGAAAAATCATGCCTTATAATGAGGTGTCTCTTAAATAGAGGTATAGCTAATATTGGGTATCTAAATGTAAGGTACCTTATAATGAGGTCTCTTAAATAGAGGGTACCTTGTATTGGGGTGTATCTTAAATAGAGGTGTATCTAGTATTAGGAGTCTCTTATAATGAAGGTCTGACCTCTATTTAATAGACGACTTGACCTCTAAAGGGACGACTCATTATAAGATAAGATTTTTTATGCCCTTAAGGGGTATCTTATAGCGAAGTTCAACTCCATTTAAAAACTAACAGGTTGAGAATCAATCAAAAACTTTTGTGGCACTTGCTCAAAATTAAGTTGGCCTGCTTGGTTAAGTGGATTATAAATTGTTTGGAAATATTTAAGAGAAGAACTTTAAAAATAATAAAAATTATTTTTATCGAAATAATTTCTACCTCGCAGAAAGAACAAAAATTGTTAAAGATGTAAGGCAATTGTAACCATTACGTTGTGGACTAGCCTAAAAAAATATTTTTCGTTTTTTATGAATTCGCCTGATTTAAAATTGGAGCAAGATTATAAACGAGTAGGATATTATTTTAGCAAGTCTGATAAATCCTAATTAATCTGACTTGATGCTGTAAGGAAAAAAGGGAGAGATCAAGCTGATTAACATTTAAAAACACTTATTAGACGAGGGGTTAAGTTTTAAAGGTGAAAGCACTGCCACGGTAGCTCAATCGGTAGAGCACTTTGTCGTGGTGGTGAAAGCTTCCGGCAATAACTGCCAAGAGGTTTACCACTCTTTTACTATGCTATCCCCTTCTTAAACCAAGATTTAGGATTTTTACCAACCGCGGGCCTTCTAAGGACTAAACGGTATTTTAATCGGACAGTGTTTTGCCCCTCAACCTAGGCATATTATCCCAAGAAATTATCCAAAAAAATTTTTTTCTAAACTCGCCTGAATACAATGTTCACCAAAAGAACCTTTAGGGCAAGTACACAACCTCCCCTGAGGCAGTCTAAAATCTGGATTGGAATATCCACGTAATTGAATCTTTAATTTAATTAAATTAATTTTATTTTCTCCCCCTCTAAGCAACCTCAATATTAACATTTTCCACATTTGAGGGCATTTTTAAATTTGAAATTAAAGGCAAATTATTTAAAGAATTATTTCCCCCTTCATTTATTTTTTCATTAATTTTTGATTTTAATAAATTTGAATAATTAAAAGAATTTTGTTTTTGTTTTGAAGTTGAGTCAAAATAGTCAAAAGAATTTATTGTTGGAATTAAAAAGAGAGTTAATAGAAAAATTAAAATTAAATTATTAAAAAATAAAATTTGTATATTTTTTTGTTGAAGTGTTCGAGGCATTTTTAATAAAAAAGTATTTAATTAGATTTAATTAATTTTCAGTCTATAAAAATAAATATTAAAATTAAAGTAAATCGGTGCTGGACCCCTAGTTATAAGATATCCGCCTGGAACAGAAAAAATATCGTAGCTTATATTGAGCTGTCTCTTAAATAGAGGGTTAAATCTCACTATAAGATACACACCCAGCTACACCTCTATTTAATACACGTTCTTAATTGATAACCTCAGTTTAAGAGACACCCATTATAGGGTACCTTCTATTTAACATACCTCTCATTATAGGCACACAATTTTTAACCTCAAAGGATAACCTTATAGTGAGGGTAGAATGTAAAAAAAAATTTAAAAAAAATTTTAAATTTTGAAATAAAAATCTTACAAAATAAGAAACGAAGGTCAAAAAAGGAATAATAAAATTGTTGTTCTTTTAGCATTTATTTATTTTAAAATGACTCATTTTTTCAAACAATTCATGGGATAAGGAAAAAAGGGAAGGAACATTCATCTTTAATGTACATTTTAACATTTAAAGTTTAAGTGTATATTTTAACATTTAAGTGTTATTTTAAAGGAAAATATTTTTTCAAAAATTATTTTTAAAAATACAACAGAATTCAGCTTCCTTAAGCTTTGGGAAAGAATAATTTTTGAATCAAAACTGAACCAAACATAATTTAAAGGTATGGACATTTAATAAAATTAACGTATACAATAAGATCGAAACCAAGAATTTTTGTTCTTTAGTTTTGAATATCCTAAGATTTTCTAAAAACCAACAAATTTAAGTGCCCTCAAATATCTCTCAATGGATATTGGTGATGCTCAGATATCCCGGTTTCAACTTGGAAATTTTTTACGAGTTCTTGGCCTCCCGATCACGACTCCCGAGGTCTTTCCTGACCCGACTCCTGTTTCCCAGGCTTATTCTTCTCCCGAGCACCCCAAAAATGTTAAATAAAAAATTTTTTAAAAACAATTTAAATTAAATCAATAAATTCAAAAAAATTTAATTGTATTTTTTTGCAATCCAAAAGACTTTAAAATTATTTTCCTCGCTTAAAATTTGTACAAAAAATATTTTTAATGAAAGCTTTTTTAATACTTTCATCTTTTTCTTATCTGTACAAACAAAAATAAATAAATATTTACTCTTTATTTTTGCGACAAGAGTTGAGGTTGGGGAGGTTAGTAGTGGTGGTGGTGTGAATCACCTTCGTCTTTCCACAAAAATTTTTTCTTTAAGAAAATTGTGGAAATGTTTAATATTTATTTGAGGTTAAAGCAAAAATCATTTCTTTAAAGGTTAAACCCTTAGAAAAAAATATTTTTTTTAATTTTAAAGACAAAAATTACTTTTCTTGATATGATTCTTAGAATTTAATAAAAGAATCTAATTTTTCCAGAGTCTGTGTCCAAAATCAAATCATTTTCGCGATTTCCGGACTTTCTTCGAATCGGACTAGTCCGAAAAAAGCTGTCCGCCCGAGTTCCAGTCTGACAAGGGGAAGAAATAAGAATTCCGGTTTCCGTCCCCGAAAATAATTTTATCGTTTACTATTCAGTTAATTATAAAAAGTAAACAAATGGTGTCTTTCAGTGAAAGGCTCTTGGTGGAAATAATCGTCGATATTTTAACGTTATCAAAAATATTATTTTTTTACGACAATTAAAATAAATATTTTGGATAATTATCTTAAATTAACTAAAATAAGGGCTAACTAAAGTTTATTTACTTTTCTAAGGAAAAGTAAAAAAAATATAAAGTAAATTTCCCCTAAAATCCCCCAAAAATTTAACAATTAAAAAAAGGAAGATTAAATTACAACCTCCCAAAAAAGTGTTAATTTTTCTCAAATTCTCCCATGTGAATTTTCTTCAAATTATTTTTTTACTTTTAAAATTTAGCCAAAAAATGTTTTTTTCTTCTAAAAATTTTAATTAATTTTTATATATAAAAATCCAAAAACAAACAAAAAAATTAAATCCTACTATTTTTTAAAGTCATTCCAATTTCCTCCCATATTTTCACAAAAAATTTCAAATACTATTTATTGGTTTGCCACAATAAGCAGCCAAATTAGCTTCACGGAATGCTTCGGAGAGGGTCTAGAAAAATAATTTTTTTAATTTTACAAATTAAATTAAAAAAATCCAAACCGGATGTGGATGACAAACTCTAGCAATATCTTCACATGACGCTCCATATTCTAAAGCTAAAGTAGCCTCAGCAATCATCTCACCTGCATTCTAAAATTTAAAAATCTTTATAATTTAAATAAGATTTAAAATTTAAATAATATAAATTGTTTAATTTGAAAAAAAAAGACAAAAAACCGAAATTCCAATTTCTCATAAAATGAGACGACTATGAGTGAGTGAGGGTTTTTTATCACTAGAGCTGGGAAAACATGCAAAATTAGAAGTTTGAGAAGTAAATAAATGCCTAAAAGATCAACATGAAAAAGGAACGGAAAGGAAACTCAAACTACCAATTTTGCAACCTACCAATTTCCCTAGCCATATTTATAACAAAAAATTCATGAAAATATGATTCCCAAAATTTTGTCTAAAATTTTTTCTTTTCTATCTATTAAAGGTAGAATTCAAAACAATATACTATATTTTTAATTTGTAAAAATAATTTAAAAATTAAACTAATATTCGTTTGGGACAAAATGTGTCATTTAAAAAATTTTTTCAATAAATTAAAAAAAAACAAACCGGTCCAATAATATGAACACCCAAAAGACGATCAGTATCCTTTTCTCCCAAAACTTTTACAAAACCTTCAACATCATTATTTGTTTTTGCACGAGAATTGGCGATGAAGGGAAATTTGCCAATTTTGTAAGAAACTCCCTTAATTAAAAAATTAAGAAAAATTTAAAATTGTATTATAGTCAGAACTCGTTATAAGATATCACCTTGGGACTGAAAAATCGGATTTTATGAAGTGTATCCTAAAGCTTTTGAGATGGAGCAGCCCAAGTATCGCTCTAGGCAGCTACCTCCCAACCATAGCATGTCGTAGTGACAAAACCCCCCTCAATGGAAATAACACAGAATTAAATGACAAAATTAAAAAAATTTTGAACTGTATAAAGTAAGGTATATCTTATAATTATGTTTAAGTTTAACCTCTTGTTTAAGCTGTTCTTCAGATTTTCCTACCCAAGCAACTTCAGGATGTGTATAAACAACAGAAGGAATCGCATCATAATTCATATGAACAGGTCCACCAGCCATACCCTCAACAGCCACAATTCCTTCATCCTTTAAATTTTTAATTAAAAACAAATTTTTAAAAAACCTCAGCTTTATGTGCCAACATTGGCCCTTTAATTACATCACCAATTGCATAAATTGAAGGAACATCAGTTTGAAAATTGTCATTTACTTGAACTCGCCCTTTATCGTCCAAATTTAATTTTACATTTTCTAACCCGAGAGAAGTTGTGAAAGGCCGTCTGCCTATACAAACTAACAAAACATCACAATCAAGCTGTAAAATAGAATAATTTAAATTAAGAAATGCCAAATCAATCAAACTCGGTTTTTAAATAATCCAAAAGGAACGGTAAACGCGAAAATTTTGGCGGACACGCCTATTTTAGTCGCAAGAAATCCGAACTCTGGATAGACCTCAACTTAAAATAAGTTTTTTTAATTTGGTTGAACAATGGATGAGGAGCTGCTCACGCGATGTTCTCTAACCCTAGGGCTCTAAAAAAAGTCCGACCATATTTTAAATTAAAAAACCGTTTGTTCCTTTCCATCCTTCACACCTTGAACATTCACTTTAATTTTTCCATTTCCTTCTTTTGTAGCACTAACAACTTTAGTTCCCAAAAGAAAATTAAATCCTTGCTTTTTAAGAAAACGTTGAAAATTTTTTGAGACTTCTCCATCAATTCCTACACCTCCAACACTATCCATAAACTCTACTGCTGTTACTTGTGACCCCAATCTTTGCCATACACTTCCCTATAAATATAGCTATAGTTTTTGGGGAAGGAGTTTTTAGTTTAAAAGTTTATTGGAAAAATCCGCAAATTTTGTCCGCAAATTTAATCCGCAAAAATTTTCCTAGTAAAAAATCCGCAAGTTTTTGTCCGCAAAAATTTTCATGAGAAAAATAAAGAAGTAAGATACCAGTTCAAGACCAATAACGCCTGCTCCAATCACAACAATCTAAGAAATAAAAAATATAAAATAGTCTACGAAGATTTTTTTAAACCTTTTCAGGAACTTTTTTGAGTGAAAGGGCCCCCGTAGATGAAACAATCTGAAAATTAAACGTTAAAACATAAAAAATAAATTGTTAACTTGTTCCTCGTCAATATCAATTCCTGGGAATGGCGTAACTTCAGACCCGCTAGCTATTAAAATTCTTTTAGTTTTGACAACCTCAACAGACCCATCTGGCTTTTTTACTGTTACCTTAAACATTTATTTTTTAAAATAAAAAAAATAAAAATCAAACTTCATTTGCCCCTGTTATAGTTCCAATTCCTTTAATATGTTCAACTTTGTTCGCTTTAAAAAGTGAAGCAATTCCACTTGTCAAAGCCTTCACAGATGTAAGTTTAGCTTTCATCATTTGATCCAAATTAAGTGTTGTGGTAACTTCAACTCCTAAAATTATGAAAAAATTTATCAATAATTTTGGAAGGACAGAATTTACAGAAAAAAGAATCTTCGGCTCATTGAAAAGTAGAGAAGAAAAGAGCGGATATTCCGTTCCAAAAATTGAAAATTCGAAGTCCTAATCCCGACGGTTTTAAAATTCCGGTTTCTCGAATCGTTCCCGTCCAAATAAGGGAAATCCAACTGTAAGGATACCCAAAAGTAATCAGAAATGGCCTAAAAATAGAAAAAGACACAAAATCCCCGCCCAGAAATACTTAAAAAAAAACCTCGAGAATTTAAATCCCCATGCTTTGCCATATGATAAAAATGAGAATTGTTGAGTAAAGCTTTGGATGGAATACAACCAACATTCAAACAAGTACCACCCAGAGTTTCATTCTTTTCAACACAAACTGTCTTCATTCCCAATTGAGCAGCTTTTATCGCGGCAACATATCCGCCTGGACCAGAACCGATAACAACCAAATCTGATTCTTAAAGAGAAAAAATTTAGAAAAATTATTAAAAGTAACTAGAGTACCAAGGCCTGAGTCTGGACGAAGGCCTGGGTTTTTCCTGTACCCATCCAGGCCCAGGCATTTTTTGACCATCCTGGGTTTCCTGGGCCTGTTTTTCCTGGACTACAGGACCAGCATCCGGCCCAGGTCAATAAATCGAACCCGAAACCCAGGAACAGGCCCAGAATTTTCAAAAATTCCGAAAAACTAACCTTGTCCAGTAGCCAACGTCCGAAATAAAAATTTAACAACTCCTCGTTTATTAAATATTGTTGAATGTCTCGGGAACATTTTTATTTAAAATTGGAAAGTCAAATAAGCTGAAAAATAAAATAATAATTAGGTAGAAAATGGCGTGACACACGGCCACAATGTGAAAAAATCACAAGAAAAATAGATGATTTACGGAAAATTTACGTAAAAAATGTTTTACGCCAAACTGTTCTAGCGCCGAACCGGTCGCGCCAAACTAGAGGTCGGCGCGGGACGGGATCCCGCGCGGGATTTTGCGGGGTCCCGCTCCCGCAATCCCGCACTTTTTTCGATTTGCGGGATTTTGCGGGATGCGGGATTTTGCGGGGTTTTTCCCGCGGGATCCCGTCCCGCAAAGATTTTTTAAAAAAATCCCGCAAATTTTTCCCGCAAAATTTTTTGAATTTTGCGAAATTTTGGAAAATGGAGAATTTTTACTCCTACCCTTCTAAACACAAAAATTTTTTGCCTGCGGCGCAGAAAAGAAAGGAATATGGATACTTGGCCTTCCAAAATTTTCGCTGCCGTCATGAAATCATCTTTATTTCATCGAAACAAAATTGTCCAAATTGTTAGATAAAGATGATTGATCGATTACATTTGTTTCAGCTCAAGCTATTCTAATTTGTATACTCGAATTTCCGACGAAATGTATGAGCTTGCCCCTTATGATATTTTTGATAATTGGGGACCCGGTATAGGGTAGGGGACGATTCAGTATCGCCGATTCAGTCTCGCCGATTCAGTATCGCCGATTCAGTCTACGCCGATTCAGTATCCACCGATTCAGTATTCGCCGATTCAGTATAGCCGATTCAGTATACGTGGAAAAGGGGACGATTCAGTATACGTATATTTTTGGGCTAGAAAATCTTTTTCTTGTAGATTTTTTTCGTGTTTCTTACTTTCTACGATCTATAGAACATCTTTAAAGCTAGCCAAGTCTTAATTCTAGCCTTCTCTTAGGCTTTTTCTGGCTTAGGGTGAAGTTTTGGTCTCGACTTTTTTTCTTCGGGGAACAAAAATTTTTTTAAAAATGAGTCAAATAAACAAAAATTTATCAAAAAATAAATAAGAACAAGGTCTACATTTCACTTATTAGATTCAGTATTCGCCGATTCAGTAAAGAGGACCAGGCCCTAAAGAGGACCAGGCAACCACCTCAACAGCAAGCTGCTCGACACAAATAAAAACAAGTCAGGGACTGGATTGTCTTAAATTACAAAAATTTTAAAAATAAAAAATGGAATGGGGAGTGGAATTGGGAACTAAGAAATCTCCGCAAAAAGCCCGCAAAAATTCGTAGGGATAACGGCCAGGGAGCTTCTGGGGCTATAGCTCCCCCTTGTACATAATGGGGAAAATAAAAAAAATTTCAAAAAGCCAAAAAACTAAAAAATAAACCATGTGTCTGTAGTAGAAACCTCGCCATTCACTGTAGAATTCTCGCCGTCTTGAGATATTAAGAAAATTGAAAAAATTAAAAAATTTTTAAAAATTAAAAAAAATCTAAATTTTCCATAAAAATTATTTTTTTTCGTTAATAATTGTTGTTGGTTATTGCTAATTGTTATGGTAGACCACCTAAAGAACAAAGAAAATGCTTAAAACGAAAAAATAAATCAGTTACTTTCCAAAAATTTCTATTTTTAGGGTATTTTATTCTACGTATACTGAATCGTCCCCTTTTCCACGTATACTGAATCGGCTATACTGAATCGGCGAATACTGAATCGGCGGATACTGAATCGGCGTAGACTGAATCGGCGATACTGAATCGGCGAGACTGAATCGGCGATACTGAATCGTCCTTAACCGCCCGGTATAAGTGCTTATCGTTTGTACCAAGTAGTACTCGTAATCTGGTACGAAGTACGATACAGTTAAAAACCCGATAAGAACTCGTTAATGATTAGGAAATTGATTTTTTCAATACGGTATAAAGCGCTAAGTCAAGATCAATATTGTTATACCCGAAATCAATCAAGTCAAAACAATTAAAAGAAAAGTCAAGGAAGCTCAAAAAATGTCTGTACATGGACTAATGGTTCAAGTTTTAGACGAGACCCCTCTGGATTGATCAATACGAAGTTTGAAATCCATCCCCCTATTCGCATCGATATTGTTTTTTCAAAGTGAACGAAAAACCAAGAAAAAATTTTGCAAAAAAATTCAGTTTTCCGTTATGAAACAGATTAAAAATTTATTGGAATCAAAACAAGTCAACAAGAATTCTATAAACATTTAAGGCAACATTTAAAAAAACATTTGTTTGGATTCTGTGTTAAATTAAAAATATAGGTAGGTATTAATGTCAAGAGATCAGTCAAATGAGTAAGTAATATAGTCAGAACTCAATTTTACATACATTCGGGATTACATTTCACCTCGATGTTAATTTGCTTGAGCAGAGATATAGGAAGAAACTACCTAGACGTGTCCCTAATTTTTAATTCACCTGAATTTTAGATACTATTTCGATCCACAAGAGTGTATGTAAAATCAAAATCTGGCTTAAGGTTTTTATTAATTTTGAAAAATAACAAAAAGAAAATTTTAGGCTGGCAGTGAAAGGAAAACTCGAAAAATTGAAAAGAAAAAAATTTTCGTAAAAATATGCAGACCGCCATTTCTTTTGTTAATTCGACTCCTAAACAAACACTAGTAAAAATCAAAACCCGTTAAATGTCAACAAGAAATTGGAAAATTTTGAAGGCTTTTTGTAAAATATTTTGGTATATGTGAATATAAAATTTTAAGGAAATTTAGAAAAAATCTGAGTAAAACCAAAAGACCTTCAAAACTCCAACACTACAAAACAATACTTCTTCAAATAATCTCCTAATTAAATTTGTGTCGTTTGGTAATTAATTCTTCCAATGAGGCGGGCAATGTGGGCAAATCTGGACAACCTTCTTTCAGCTTGTCAATCAATTTTGTAAGAGCATCAGCTTTGTCGTTAATCCTTGATTCCAGAGAACCGAGTCTGTTGGATGCGGAGAAATGAACAGAGTAAATGATGATAATAGCCACAACTCCAAACATAATTATTGCAAAGCCAATGGTCAAAAATGAACACCAATTCCCAAAATAGGTGACTCCTTTGAGGCCACAGGGATGAGTCTAAATTGAAAATATGATCAATATTAGCAGTTTTTCTTTTCAATCATTCAAAAATCCTTTTTCTATGGCAATAAATAACCAACTCAGCGTGTTAAAAAAATTTGGTACTTTTTCGAAATTGAGGAAAAGAGAAAATCTGATCATTCTTTACATAAGGCAGTCCGCAAAAAAGGGATAGGGATAACGGAAAAATACCTAAACTTTAAAGCCTTGGAAACTCAATCTAACAAGGAGACATTTTGAACTGTATGTGAAAATTTTATAGTTTTTTACACCATTGTGTTGAGCAGGGCCGAAAACCTATTATGGTTTTCGGCTTTTTCCCCTGACCCGTATTTCGAAAAGTTATAGGTGTTCAAAGTTTTCGACTTTTGGAGCGGCCTTTTTAATACATATTAAGAAAAGCAGAGAGAGGGTAGATGCGCCTATTCCTTTTTTTCCCTCTCCTCTTTTTTCCTTCCTCTAACATAGATTGGAAAAGAAGAGGAAAGGAAAAAGGGAGAAAACGAGTCTCATTTTTCTCTTTAATAAGTTGTACAAGTATACTAAAGCAGTTAACTTTGAACCCCTATAACTTTTCGAAATGGGGGGTCAGTGGAAAAAAGCCGAAAACCGCAATTGGTTTTCGACCCTGCTCTACACGATGGTGCCAAAAACACAATTCTCAATCGTGGGGATGCATTTGAGACCACAGGGATGAGTCTAAATTGAAAATTTTAATAAACTTTAGAGCCTTGGAAACTCAATCTAAGAAAGAATTCCCAGCAAATGGTAAAACTACCACAAGTTTACTAAAGAAATAAAACAAAACCTTTTCAATCTTTTTCATAAAAACATCCAGGTCCTTCTTAGTAGCAAAATTTGCCAGGTCCTTCTTTGTAGCAAAATTCGCCAGGTCCTCTTTAGTAGCAAAATTTGCCAATTCCTTCGCCAGGTCTGCCTTTGTAGCAAAATTTGCCATGTCAACTTTTGTCAAAATGCACATAGGATTTTCACCTAAAATCAATGACATCAGAAAAATCAATTATCAGAACCCAGAAAGCTCAAGAAAGCTGTACATGGACTACGATTTCAATAAACCACCAAGTTTCACCATATGCGAAGCTTGAACGGCAATCCCGGAGAATTGGGGGGGGGGGATTGAATTGGGGGGTCCCTGCGGAAAAAAATCTTAAAAATAAGAAAAAGGATTTAGATATTTCGTAATAATTCGCTCCGATAAAAAATCAAAATATCAAATGTCCGAATTCGGGTTCGGGATTCGACTTTCTTAAAATCTGAGCTCGGTTTCGTAATCAGCATAATTTTTACCCTAGAAAAGTCCCTTTTCTTATTTTTAAGATTTTTTTCCGCAGGGACCCCAATTCTCCGGGATTGCCGCTTGAACGATATAAGCTTTCAGAAGACTCGGAGGAGCCTTAAAATCAAAGGGAACCCAGGGAACTCACAAAGACTTGGTTGATAACTTTCAAACCCGTGCGAACGGGAACCCTAAAATTAAAAAAAACCTTTAACTCCTGAAATGTTAACATTCCCTCCTTCCGGAGTTTTGTCACCTTCAACATTTTCGTCAATAAGAGTAGTTAAAGGAATAGATTCTTCATTTGAAGAAGATTGAATTGTAGACATATTTAATAGGGGTATATAGGTTACCTAAAAATGTGAAATAAAAAAAATTTAAAGACAAAAATATTATGTGATAGAAACTAAAAAAAATAAGTTAACAAACATTAAGCAAATAATTTATCGATTTTAAAAGTTGAAGATATTTTCTATAAAAAATAGGTAATGAACGCGTTTTCTTCCAATTAAATTATTCTGTGTTAAATTAAAAATATAGGTAGGTATTATGTCAAGAGATCGGTCAAATGAGTATACTATATGTTTATGGTAAGTGTCTTATAGTAAGTAATATATTCAGAACTTGATTTTACATAAATTAAAAATTGCATTGGAAAGAACTGCCCAAACGATGTCCCTAATTTTTAATCCACCTGAATTTTAAATACCTTTTTCAACTCCCAAGATTGTATGTAAAATCAATCTGACTTAGGCTTTTACTAATTTTGAAAAATAACAAAAAGAAAATTTTTGGCTGGCAGTGAAACTCGAAAATTGGAAAAAAAACTTTTTTAAAGTCAGACCCCCTTTTCTTTTTGTCAATTCTACTCAAAATAAACAAAACTAGTAAAAATCAATTCCCATTAAATGTCAACAAGCAGGCCCGTAGGGGGGGGGAGGGGGGGGGGGAATTCCTCCCTCCCCCGGCTACGGCCTGTCAACAAGGAATTGGAAAATTTTGATGGTCTTTTTGTAAAATATTTCGGTATATGTGAATATAAAATTTTGAGGAAATTTTAAAAAATTCTGTGAAAAACCAAAAGACCTTCAAAACTCCAACACTACAAATCAATACTTCTTCAAATAATTAACTAATTAAATTTGTGTCGTTTGGTAATTAATTCTTTCAATGAGGTGGGCGGCAAATCTGACAACCTTCTTTCAGCTTATCAATCGCTTTTGCAAGAGCATCAATTTTGTCATCAATTTTTGATTCCAGAGAACCGAGTCTGTCGGACGTGAAGAAATGAAGAGAGTATATGATGGTGAGAGCCACAACTCCAAACATAATTATGGCAAAGCCAATGGTCAGAAAAGAAACCCAATTCTCAACCGTGGGGATGCATTTGAGACCACAGGGATGAGTCTAAATTGAAAATTTTAATAAACTTTAGAGCCTTGGAAACTCAATCTAAGAAAGAATTCCCAGCAAATGGTAAAACTACCACAAGTTTACTAAAGAAATAAAACAAAACCTTTTCAATCTTTTTCATAAAAACATCCAGGTCCTTCTTAGTAGCAAAATTTGCCAGGTCCTTCTTTGTAGCAAAATTTGCCAGGTCCGCTTTAGTAGCAAAATTTGCCAATTCCTTCGCCAGGTCTGCCTTTGTAGCAAAATTTGCCATGTCAGCCTTTGTCAAAATGCCCACAGGATTTTCATCTAAACCTAAAATCAATGAAATCAGAAAAATCAATTATCAAACCCCGAAAAGCTCAAGAAAGAAAAGCCCCGAAAAGCTCAAGAAAATCAACAAGCTTCACCACAGGCGAAGCTTGAACGATATAAGCTTTCAGAAGACTCGGAGGAGTCTTAAAATCAAAGGGAACCCAGGGAACTCCAAAAAACTTGCACACAGACTGTCTGGATACTTTTCAAACCCGTGCCATGTTCAGCCCTAAAATTTAAAAAAATAAAAACCTTTAACTCCTGAAATGTTAACATTCCCTCCTACCGGAGTTTTGTCAAATTCAACATTTTCGTCAGTAAGAGTAGTTAAAGGAATAGATTCTTCATTTGAAGAAGATTGAATTGTAGACATATTTAATAGGGGTATATAGGTTACCTAAAAATGTGAAATAAAAAAAATTTAAAGACAAAAATATTATGTGATAGAAACTAAAAAAAATAAGTTAACAAACATTAAGCAAATAATTTATCGATTTTAAAAGTTGAAGATATTTTCTATAAAAAATAGGTAATGAACGCGTTTTCTTCCAATTAAATTATTCTGTGTTAAATTAAAAATATAGGTAGTTTTTCTAAAATGAAATAAAAAAATTTTTATATAAAAAAATATTTTGTGATAAAAAACCAAAAAAAGTAAGCGACTTTAAACAAATAATTTATCGATTTTAAAGGCTGGGGTATTTTCTACAAGAAAAAATAAGTAATGAACGCGTTGAAAAGAAAAGAATTTTGGGAAGAAAAGTCAACTTTCCCACCCATAGTGAACGACAAATCAACGTTTTCGTTGATTCGCGGCGAATATCAACAATTATTCGCGAACAACTTTTTTTTAAATACATAACGCCAGAACAACGTTAATATCACGGTACACCTCAATTGAGTTCTAAAGAACTTGCATATTGCGGTACACCTCAATTGAGTCCGCACGATTGAGTCCCCACGATTGAGTCCCGGCACAATTGAGTCCCCACGATTGAGTCCGCACGATTGAGTCCCCGTTGTATATACCTCAATTGAGTCCCCTAGATTTAATTATATTAAAAAAGATTAAGAGGGATATTTGGGGATTTGGAGGGATTAATGTTAATATCAGGGGACTTGTATGCGACATCGAGGTATCAAGATGGATATTGGTGAATATCAAGGGATATAAGTAGATTTAAGCGGGGATATCGGTTGAATTAAGGCAGATATCAACAAATTCGGAGAGATTAAGATGGATATTGTGGGTTTGGGGATTAGGAGGGATATCGAGAGATTTTTTGAATGACAGCTCATTCGAAAGTAGTGAGTCGAATGACACCAAAATCAACATTGTTGAACAAGTTCTCGCCGAGATATGGGGCTCGAAATGGTGGATTTTTTGGTGGAATTCCATGGGGAATTTTTGTTGCGAAACATTCGAATAAACAAAAAATAGCTCATTCGAAAGGGATCGACGAGATGAGTTGAATAAGACCAAAATCAAGTTGATTGAATGATTCTGAACAAATTTTGACCAACAGAATCTTCGCTGGAAAAACTTTTTGTGCTGCTATGGAGGGTAGGGGAAACTATCTAAATTACGAACGTAAAAACTCCTTCCTAATTTCCGGACTCCGGCAGAATTTACCTGGATACGGGAGAAAATCAAAATGTGAAAAAAAAATAAAAAAATATTTTTTAAAAATTTTATCAAAAAAATTAAAAAAAACCAAAGTCTAGCTTCAATTATTGTGCCAAAGAAGGGCCTTTCTTTCGTTTTTTGTTCTCCTAAGTTCACCACCTTCGTTCCTTCAGAAACTGTGAACTTGAAAATCGCCAGTCAGAAACTGACGAAAATCAAATAAAAAATTTTAAAAATAAAAACGAAAAACAAAATAAAAATTCCAAACCTTTTCAAATTTCCCATCGTTGCAGCCGTGGGATGAAGTCCGTCACGTGATGAGCAAAGTTAGACCAACCTGAAATATAAAATCTAAAATTAAAAAATAAAAATTAAACTTTTACCTACACAAGATTCTCGTCCTCCCTCTCGTCCTCATTGAGAAAATTCAGTGCTCGGATGGACTTGAGTGGATGCTCGGTCAACTAATTAACAAAATTAGTTGCAAACCCCAAAAGAAAAACAAAAAAATAAAAAAAAACAATAAAAAAATCTAGGAAAATAAAAATTCCTACCGGGAATTTTTAACGGGGACTCAATTGAGGTATATACAACGGGGACTCAATCGTGCGGACTCAATCGTGGGGACTCAATTGTGCCGGGACTCAATCGTGGGGACTCAATCGTGCGGACTCAATCGTGGGGACTCAATCGTGCGGACTCAGTTGAACTGCTCCGTTGATATTAACGTTGTTCTGGCGTTATGTATTTAAAAAAAAGTTGTTCGCGAATAATTGTTGATATTCGCCGCGAATCAACGAAAACGTTGATTTGTCGTTCACTAGGATAGTCCTTCTCTTCGAACTCGAATTCGGGTCCGGTATTATAAATAAGTAGACTCGATAAGGCAAACTTCTAAAATATCGTAAAAGCATTTTCCTTTTTTTTGAGGGAGATGAAAAATTGGGGAATTCGTTTTTTGCACATTTTGCTTTATTTCACTCAAATTCATTTTTATTTTATTTTTAGTTACAGAACAGTTATTGTTTAATAATTTGGTAGGAATAAATAGTAAAAAGATGGAAGAAAAACAAAAGCCTCCATCTTTAAAGGGTAATTTTTATTTTTAAATGATTTTTAGGAGGAAGAAGCCGTCAAAAGAGGGAGAGGGGGTGAGTGTGGGGGAGTAGCGAAAGTATCTTCTCAGTTTTGCTGTCTTCCGGTATTTGTCCTTACTTTTTAAAATTTAGTTTCGGCATACCTTTGGGGGTATAAGGGCTTGGATGTTTTCAAAAAATACCAGATTCCCACAACTTTGAAGGAGGGACAAAATTTTTTAGGTAACGCAAATTGTATTAGGTAAATGCACAAAAATGCAGTTAACTCCGTTTTATAGTTAAGCAGCAACTCGACTCCGGACGATTTTTTTGGCAAAAACCGCGACCCGGACCCCTAGGGCTCTGCAATGACAAACCCCGATCTGAAGGGTTGCTACCCTCAATTTATAGTGTTAGTGACTAGTTTGGGGATACATAGAAGGGTCTTGTCGGTACTTTAAATGGAGTTGATTGAATGGGAGAGAACATTGGGCCTATTTTTGTTTTAATTAGAAAGGGATAAGATTTAATGGACCCCAAAAATTTATTTTTATTTTTTTAAGATTCTGTTGCGTTGAAACCTTGGGAAGATATGGATACTGAGTTGAAAAAGGCTAAATTGGAATATTTTCGAATTCAGGTATTTCTTTTGTTAATCCAAAAATCTTTTTAAAAAAATTATTTTTTAGACTATTTTGGCTGAAGAACAAATTTCCAACCTTAAAATTCAACGTAAAGTATTGGAATTGGAATATGAAGAGAAGGCGGAAAACAAAAGGAAGAAGGAACGCGTGGCTTATTGTTATTAAAGAAAAAAGAAAAGGAAGAATCTTATGTTTTGTTAAAATTAAAAAAAAATTTTTTTTCGTGCAACTTTATTTTTTTCGCTAGGTAAATTATAAAAAATTTTAAATTTACTTTCTTTTACTAGAGTTTTTCTACTATATTTTATTATTTTAATCATTTAAATTAACTGAATTTTCTGGGGACGAAATGTCTCACAAAAAGACGATAGGAAAATGGACAAATGACCAGAAGACATTTGTGGTTATGTGGATTTTGTCTGAGGATTCTAAGAAGTAATTTTAAAAATTTTAAGAAATTTTTAGGAAATTTTAAATATTAAATTAAAAAATGTCGATTCTACGTGTTTTGAGTACCGTTCCATTCAGGTTATTTTTTAAATTTTTATAAGAAAATTAAAAAAAAATTTTTTAAAGCAATCGTCCACCAGTACAAGATATAATAGCTAATTTACATTCTTATTTTACTTTTAATTTTTTGATTGGCTTGGCTATTTTGTTAAGTTATAAACAATTTGGAGGTCGACCTATTGAGTGTATGACGCCTGCTGGATTTTCTTCGTCTTGGACTGATGTATTATATTTTTAATTTTTAAATTAAACCTAAGGATACACCCTTTGGGTTGAAAATTATATCTTATAATGAGTTTAAATTGAAGATACCTTATAATGAGGTCTGTTAAATAGAGGGTATCGCTCTAACCTACAAGAGGCATCCTATCTTAAATAGAGGAGCCTCTTGGGCAGCCTCCTCCACCTAGAGGTCGACCAAATTAAAAAAACGTATCTTAAATAAGAGCGTGTCTTATAGCGAGTTTTATTCTCTATTTAAGAGACACCTCATTATAAGAAAGGATTTTTCGGCCACAAGTTATAGGGTTTGATTTTTAAAAATTTTCTTTTTAAATTTTTAGTACACAGAAAATTATTGTTATACGGCCAACACTTATTTTGTAGCTATAGATAAAGCTGAACAAATAATAGTGAATATAAGTGATGAGGAAAGAAGAGAAAGACGAATTAGTTATTATCAATGGATTCCCTTCTTTTTAATTTTTCAAGCTGGGTGTTTTAAAGTGCCTGCTCTAATTTGGAAATACTTTCATGCACAATCAGGTTTTTTTAAACTTTTTGGTAATCCTAGGGAATGGTTGGGATTTGTGAAAAAGCTAAATTCACTTTTTGTCCGCAAAAATTTTTGCGGACAAATTTTGTGTCCGCAAGTTTTTTGCGGACAAAAATTTTTTTCTAATTTTTAAAAATATTTTTTTAAAGACTTTTTAACTCAAATCCTTTGCTTTCCTAAGATTAATAAAAAAAAAATAAATTTTAGGAATGAAAGTAGGCGAAATTCTTCGAATAGCATCCAGTGAAGCTAATAGTGATCCAACAATTAGAGCGGATAATATTAATTCTCTTTGTAATCATTTGCAGAAAGTTTTAAAATTTCATAGAAGATTGGAAATGGTTTTTTTTGAATTTATTTTTAATTTTATTTGGGGATATTTTTTGGGGTATACAAAAATGTATTTTTCTTTAAAATGAAGGAATTTTTGGGGATAAAAGATTTTTTGGGGGATTTTTAAAGTTTCCTTCAAGATTGGGTTTTGAGATTTTATTAAAAATGAAAACCTGGGCTTTAAGAATTCTACTATAAAATATAAAAATGGAGTGAAGATTAATTAATAGATGGGCACGGACAAGGAAGGGATATGACGGGTTGAGAGAAAATCGGATAGGAGTCCGAGTTGGGTTTTCAAAATTAATTCCGGATCGAGTTTTGGATCGAAAAAAGCCTAATTTCTGAGTTTGAGTAACCTTTTTAGGGAGGAGAACCAAGTTTTCAAATAAAAAATTTTTTTTTAATTTTCAGAGAAGAATTCGCCCTCACAGATTTTTTCGGCTATTAAACATGAAATATTCTGCTTATTATGTAACACTTGTATATTTATTGAGTAAATGTTTATTTTTTATTAATGTAACGGGACAATTAAATTTTCTTAATCGGTTAGATTTTTTGAATTAATTTTTTAAATTTATTTTTTAAAGTTATCTTTTTGGGTCAAATGATAATTTTGGGTTTGAATTTTGGAGAAATTTGTTGCACTGGAATTCAACTTTTTGGAAGGAATCTGGAGTGTTTCCTAGAGTTACTTGGTGCGATTTTGATGTAAGAAGAGAAAATTTTTTTGAGTAAAATTTCCAAAAAATTTTCAAATTTAAAATTTTGAATTTTTGAAATTTCTAAAAATTTTTTTGAAAATTTTCAAAAAAAAATTTTTTGAAAAATTTTCCTTTAAAGGTGAGAGAAATGGGACAATCAGTTAACCATACAGTTCAATGTGTTTTAGTTTTAAACGTTTTTATGGAAAAAGCTTTTATGCTTTTGTGGGGATGGTATACAGTTTTGGCAATTATTACTTTGGCTAATATTAGTGCTTGGTTTGTCTTTTGTAAATTTTTTTTTCTTATAAAATCGGTCGGAATCCGTTGTCTGTAGATATAATTTTCAAATTTCCCGACATTTAACTTTGACGGAAATTTTTTAATAAACGAAAATCTTTATTTTTAAAGGTTTTATGGTTACTTAAGTACAGCTTCTGCCGAACATTTTATTTTTAACCATTTAGAGATGGCTGGTGAACCATTATTTGATAAAGATCCAAATATTTTACAACCAAAGCGTTTGTTTTTAATTTTTATAAAGAAATTTTTTTCTTTAAAGAAATTCAGCAATGTGTAGCTAAATTTATTGTAAAATATTTAAAAACGGATGGATTATTTATTCTTCGATTAATTGCCCAACACGCGGACGTGGTTAATTTTGAGATTTTTTGGGGTTTTTTTAAAGATTAAATTTTAGCAAATGTCAACACAATTAATTTATAAAATGTGGACAAGTCATTATATTATTGAAAAACAAAGAGAGTAAGTCTCAAAATTTATTTTTTTGTAAAAAATTTTTTCTGGAGTTTTGGGGGGAATTTTGCTTAAAGGATAGTGGGGTTGTTCGAGGGAACGAGAAACCGGACTTTTTACAAGAATCAAAATCGATAACCGAAATTTCGTCCAGGCTCTCGTTTCGGTTGATTTGTAGTTTTAACTCCTTGGGGTTTTCATCAAAAAAGAAAAACGAAATGTGAAACATCAATAACACAAAAATTCGTCGACAAGCGAAACTGGCTTTTCTGTTTTAAATTTCTATTGAATACGAATTTATTTTTAGGAAAAATTTTTGGAAAACCATTTTTTAATTTTTTGGAAAAATTTTTTTTTGACAAAATATAAAAAGAAAGTCGGTCTTAAAATTTGTCGTTGACAACCTAGAACTGAAAAATAGAACAAAATTTGCACAAAAAAATTTTTTAGATCATTAAAGAAATCAGAACCTATATGGAAACGTCATTTATTGGCATTAGAAAAAATGACAGTACAAGTAGAATTAGAGGGAGATGAGATGCAAGAACATACATATCCAAAAATGGGACATAGACGTGAAAGTATTACAAGTTTGGCGGAAAGTGAAACAACTAGATGTTAATTGGAGGTTAAAGGTTTTCTAGTCACTTTTTTTGGAACACCAGTTTTTTTTGGGGGAACAGGCCCATAGCCATGATTTTTTCAGGGGGAGGGGCAAGGGGGGAAATTTGTCTGCGCCGAATTTTAACGCCGCAGGCGAAAATTTTGAGAATTTTTGAAGGCCCTGGCTACGGGCCTGTTAGGGGTGGGTATTTTTTGAAGGAATTTTTTTTAAGAAAAATGGTTCCTTTATAAAAATTATTTTTCCCCGTTTTTATTGAAAACCAGTCAATTTTTGTATGAAAAATGACAAAAATTACGTTTAAAAACTTGTGAAAAACTGGTGTTTTTATCCAGCTCCCCAAATGCTTTAATTAATTCTATACGTTAAATTAACGAAAAATTCTCACTTTTTTCAGAAATATTTTTAAAATTTTTTTCTTACATTTGTGCAATAATCTCCTTAACTATTTTTTAATTTTTTGAAATTTAATTAATTTAAAAAAATAAAATTATAAAACCTTTTTTATTTTAATTTTTTGTACAAATTTAAATAATTTAAAATATTTTTTCTTCAAGAAAATTATTTTTGTTGTCCTATATTTGATGCCAATTTTAATTCAAAATCGTTGAGAAGTTGCTTAACATCTTTTCTGAAAAAAATTTTTTTTAAGATAAAAGTAATTTGGAGTGCCGTTTTTATTTCTAGTATATTTTTAAAGGAAAAATGGGAATGGGGGGTTACCGATTTCCAAAATTTCCAAAAAATTTAATTTTAATTTAAAAAATATGGGAAAAAGTTTAGTTTGTGTTCTCTCCCCCTCCGTGTTCCTTTTTTTAAAATTTTCCCGAAATTCGTCTCCAGTTTCCTTGGCATTTTTCAATCAAGAAAGGGTTCTTTGCATAAAAATTAGGGTTGCCGTTTTCAAACCGGGCCGTTTTTTTTCAAGCCATCTTTTTCGGGTTTGTTTTTATTGAGTCGGGCCGTACGAGCCTTTTTCGGGACTCGATCTTTCGGTCCGAGTCGGGCCATTTTGGTAACCCTAATAAAAAAAGAAAGTTCCTTAGTCTGACCATTATTAACCATTTTGAAAGAAAATTAAATTTTGAAAAAAATAAAGAGGGAAAAACACAATCCAAACCTTTTATCAAAAAAAATAAATTTTTTCTTACATTTGCTGAAAAATATTTTGCATTCCATTCATTGATTCACTAAATTCCTCAGCTTTAGCCAACATTGCATAAGTCGAACGAATTGCAGAATCTACTTGATCGCAAGTAGAAGTAACTATATTATTAAATACTTGCATAGATTCGCTAGTTAAATCGCTCATTCCGTGTAGAGAACCTCTCAAATCTCTTAAAGTCATATCCAAATTTGAGGCGATTGATCTGGCATGGGCTTCCAAATCGGTAAGAATTGAGGGGTCAGGAACTAAATTGTCGTTGTTGTTGGGTTGTTTTGTGTTGTCTGTCATTGCCTTATCTGAAGAAAATTAATGGAGAAATTAAAAAATAAAAAGTTTGGGGAGAAAATTAGACGTCCCCGGAGGTACTCAACTGATCTCGCTCTTTTAATGTTTTAAATTTGTTGTGATTTATTTTATTTGGCGAAATGTTTTTTCTCTACATCTTTTCCAACACTCTTAGTTTTGTATACTATTTTCTTGTTGGAATTTATTTTCATTTTAGTTTTTGACGTAAAAGTTATTTTTTCGTGATTTTTTGATATTACTGATGTTTTATTTTTTTAGAAAAATAAATTAAATTATGCCACCAAAAACAAAAGGTGGGAAGGCCGACGCTAAAGGAGGAAAAGCGGCGCCAGCAAAAAAGAAGGACACGCCAGCCGGAGGAAGCGGAAAGGCTAAGAAGAAGAAGTGGTCGAAGGGAAAGGTTCGGGACAAGTTGCAGAACATGGTACTTTTTGACCAGGCGACATTTGACAAGCTTTACAAGGTTTTTTGGGGTTTTTTTTCTGATAATTGACCTCTTTTCTAGGAAATTGTTTCTGTCAAATTGATCACTCCTAGCGTTGTTTCTGAACGTCTCAAGGTTTGTTGAACGTCTAGTGCTTCTCTTAAGTTGATTAAAAATAATTTTAGGTCCGAGCTTCTCTAGCGCGTGCTGGTCTTCGCGAATTGCACCAAAAAGGATTAATCAAAGTTGTGGTTAAGCATGGAGCTCAATTGGTATATACTCGAGCAACCAAGACAGAGGAAGCCTAGAAATGATTTGAAAGCATTTTTGTTAATTTTAATGCGTTCATTTTCTTGTTGATGAAAATTATAAAATGTTTTTGATTGATTTTTTAGTTGTTTAACGGTTTTTACCCATTTATTATTTTATAGAACAGAAGTGGTTCTAACCCGTCGGTATGGTTTTCCTTGTTTCCTTAACGTTGTCTTATCTTTGTCGATCAAAGTTTTGAATAATTCTTTGGAAATCGCTTCCTCGTTTTTCGAAAACTGACGTAGTAGACCAAAAGGGTTTTGCGTCAAGTAGAGATAGGAAATTTTGAAAGACCTTGATTCTTGATTTTGGTTGATTACGTTGATTGACTAGATTCTCGACTTTGAACAAAATCAAGGCCTGGATTCGGATCCAAGCCTATCTCTAGGGGCAATATGTCAAATGATGTTCCCAAGCCTTATAGCTTTAAGATAACGTTTCTTAAAATTTTTCGTTTTGACGTTACCAGCATAAAACGTTTACTTTTCGTTTTCTCTTCAAATTTAGTTAACAGATAAAAATGAAAGAGCCGAGAAGGCAAATTAATAATCGTCAACATAGAAAACACTTTATTGGAAAAAGAAGACAATTTCGACCTAATCGTCCTCCGATCCCAAATGACTTGATTCGTGGAAAGCCTGATAATTTCCCTCCACAGTTGGACATTCCTAAAGAGAAGTTAAATGAATATGAAACTGGGGCTGAGCTTTTAATTCCGGTTAGTTTAGAATCTTTTAATTAAATTTTTTTATTTTAAAGGAAAAAGCAAGGACGATAGTCGCCCAAAAACGTTTAACAAAAAAGAAGGGAAGATTTTTTGAAAGAGTGGAGAGGGTTGCACGTGCTGAAATTCTTGATACTCAACAAGAAGGGTTTTCTTTTTTGAATTATTTTCATAGAAAATTTTTATTTGAAGGTATATTGAAGCAGATGATGGGGTCCCTACATGTATGACCAAACAGGCTGAAATTTGTGATGCTGTGGATATTGCTAGTGCAACTAAAGTAATTTTTAAAAGAAAGATTTTTTCCCTAATTTTTAAAGATTTTTTCCCTAATTTTTTTGAAACCATTAGGAGACGGTATAGGGCTGGGCTCTGTCTAACCCCGATCCGGAACAATTTTCAGAACCCGACCGCGATATTCTGACCTCTAACCTCAGCAAATTCTGACCCCTAACTTTTAAACCGAAGAATATATTTTCAAAAAAATATATTTTTGTATACTTGTCCCCGTCTAACATCGACTCTGATACAAATTTCAACTCCGACCTTGAACGATTTTGACTAACTGGGGAAAAATTTGTAGAATCCCTGGTCCTCAAAAATCGCGACTATTGGGTGGTGGCAAGTCGATTAACTACCACTCATTGATTTTTCGAACATATATGGCACGAGGGTTTGGCCTGTCCTGTTTCTAATCTAAAAGCAAAAAGTTTACTATTTTTTCACCTTTCAAAGCATTTTTCGCTTGATCTTCGTTTTGGACCATACAATCTTGACTACACTCTAAATGGACGTTATATGTTGCTAGGTGGACGTAAAGGACATGTAGCTGCTTTCGATTGGATGACTAAAGATTTAATAACTGAAATTAATGTAATGGAAACTGTTCGGGATATTCAGTTAGTTTTAACTTTTTGATTAAATTTTTAATGAAACCTTAGATGGCTTCACACAGAAACAATGTTTGCTGTAGCCCAAAAACGTTGGTTAAGAATTTATGACAGAAATGGAACAGAATTGCATTGTATAAAATCGATGTTTGATATTAGAAGATTGGAGTTTCTGCCTAGGCATTTTTTACTTGTTGGATCGGTATATAATATTTTTTTATTTAATAGAAGTCATGTCATCGAAGCTTTTGAGCTTTCGGACCACACGTTAAAATAGTCGAAAACGGGTCTAACGATAATTTATCCAAGATACGGATTTCACGGAGTGTAGGCACGGCTCGGTACTACCATGGTATTGCATTCATTACCGGACAGGTACTTTTCGGTACTACCGGTACCGGAAAAAGCCATTTGCCTAACAATATTTCAGGCGTGCTTTCCCCGCTTATGGCTAAAGAAGGAAATGTTTAAAACGAGAGCGTGAATAAGAGTCAATTTTCGGGGCGGGCTTTCAAAATTTTCTTCGGATCGGGTTACGGTTAACCCCTAAGCCGTCCCTTGATTTGTTTCCTCAGAATAAATTGATTTTTATTTTTTACATTCAAAAAATTTTCCTTTTTTTTCTTTTTAATATTTTTCTCTAAATTTTAGGGTGGAAACACATTCCTTACATGGTTAGATGTTTCTGTTGGCAAACAAGTTTCGTTTTCCTCAAATTTAATTTAAAATTAAATTTTTAACTAGGTAGCTAATTTTCCAACAAAATGTGGGGCTCTACACGTTCTAACACAAAATCCGTCAAATGCAATAATTGTTGGAGGAAATTCCCGTGGTTTAGTAACAATGTGGTCACCAAATGTTCAAAAACCGTTAATTGAAATGTTTGCACATAAAGGGCCAATTTTGGGTATTTCTATAAATTCAAATGGAAATTATATGGCAACGAGTGGATTGGACAATAAATTGAGAATTTGGGATTTGAGGAAGAATTATAGTGAATTGGCTGTTTATTCTGGCCCTTTAGTACATTATTCACATGTTGCTTTTAGTCAACGAAATTTTTTGGCGGTTAATTCGGGGAATAATTTACAGGTTTTGTTTTTTAATAATTTTTTATTTGAAATTTTTTTGAAATTCTGTTGTGAGAATTCTAAGTTTTTTTAAATTTTTTGGGAAATTTTTTAATTTACACGATTAACTATACATAATTAAGCTGTGATATTTCCGAATGGATTGTTTCAAATAATACTTAAGGTTATCGTAGGGGAGGGAGATATACTTCCAAATTTATTACTTTGGATCTTACTTTTAGGTTTAAAAGATTAAATAACTTCCTGGTTGATCAAGTACTAGCATGTTAACGTCAGCGCCCATTATATAAGAACTCGGTCAAATGACTGGTTGTTTGACTATGGTAAATGAGGTATCCACTAAATTATTGCAAACCGTTAGAAAAAGAAAACTAAGTGGTTTGCCAGCGTAGTAAGGTCATTTAACCTCGAACTACCTTCTTTTACTATCATTGCAGTAGTTGACGTGATAGAAAGAAGCATTAAAAATCAAAAAATATTTTTAATCAATATATTTTTTAAGATTCTCAAAAACCCTCATTTGGGTCAATCCACCACACCCTATTTAATGCATAAATGTGAAGGAGCAATTACAGATTTAAAATTTTGTCCCTACGAAGATGTTTTGGGTGTTGGACACACTTTAGGGTTGTCAAGTCTTTTAATACCCGGTGCTGGACAAGCAAATTTTGATTCGTTACGAGCAAATCCATTTGAATCGAAACAACAAAGAAAAGAGAGAGAAGTGAAAATGTTACTTGATAAGGTTTGTTTTTTTATAAAATTTTGGAAATTTTTTTTATAAAGGGGAACCGCTATTAGGAAGCCAAAAATATTTTTTAAAATTTATTTTGGGTTTATTGGTTTTTTGTAGGGCGTATCTAGAGGGGATTGGAGGGAAAATTAAATCCACCTGACCGGTTAAACCCTTAACTTATCTATAGAAAATCCAAAATCAAAGGGCTTGTTTAACTGCTTAAACTATTTTAATTTATTTGTGACTCGCGTCATTTTGACGTAAATAAATAAATTTCCAAAATGTCTATCTTCCTGTAATAAAAAAATGCAATAAAAATTGATAACATTAATCCTCTATCTCCCTGCATTTAATTGTCAAAAAAAAATAATTTTTATAAATTTTTTTTAGATTCAACCAGAATTAATAACATTAAATCCTGCAGATATTAACCGGGTTAATCGAAAAGGATTAAAATCAACAATGGAATACAGAAATAATGTAATGCATATAAAGCCTTCAATTATTGAAGATTTCAAATAAAATTCTTGTTTTTTGGATTTTTTATTGTTTACAACAAATATCACCAGTTAAACATTTGTAACCTTAAAAATTGGAAAAATTTTTTAAAATTTAATAAAAGGAGGTTTTTTAAAATTTATTTAAAACATGTCAGACATCATTATAAGAGATTCCCCTTGGAGGGTGCCTTATAACGAGCTGTCTATTAAATAGAAGGGGTTTTATAATGAAGGTGTCTGTTAAATAGAGGGGTACATTATAAATAAGATGCCCCCTTGGAGGGTGCCTTATAATGAGTTGTATACTAAATAGGAGGTGTCTTATATTGAGGGTGTTTATTAAATAGAAGGGCATCTGGGCAACTCCTCCTTCCTGTGGTCAACAAAAATTTTTTTTAAAAACCATATCCCAAATAGAGGTGTGTCTAGTGTTGTGTGTATATTTTAATGAGGTCTGACTCTTCAGATTAATTTTTCTTTTAAAATAAGAATTTACCAATGGGACAGCCCAGTTGCCTCTGTCCATTTGAATATTGCAGATTATAATTTGTAGAATCCCCCGCTGTACAAACACCAAAAGTCATTGTATTATCCGGACAAGAAGGGCAACAATACCCATTTTGACATTGATAACCGGGTTTGCAAGCACCCTAAAAAATTTTTAAAGAAATTAAAAAAATATTTTATCAGACGTGGTCTTGGATACGGATAATATCCGGATAACCACGGATCCTCATGTTGACCATTTTGTGAAAAATTGATATATCCGAGGATACCTGTGGATGGATATAATCAAAAGTTAGGCGGATATATCAGGATCCATGGCCATGGTGTATTTCCTTACCATATTACAATATCCAGCAGAACGCCCAACTTTACATTGACAACAATATCGAGAGGCGGTACAAACCAATCCGTTTGAACACGTCCCAGAATCACAACGTTCTATGGCTATTTGACCTCCACAAGCCTCTTAAGAAGCTTTCTTATGGAATTTTTAATTAATATACCCAGATAATTGTTAGGATTTTGTGGGCAACATATTCCGTTTAGACACTCTTGTGAAGGAGAACATTGGCCTGCAGCACTGGAAAATTTTTTTTTATTTTTATCTACCTTTGTAGTTTCGTTATGTGAAGTGTGGTAAGTCACGAGAAAACCCATTTTCAGAGAGATGGGATTCAGGTTGGAGACCAACCCATTTCCGCAAAATCACTTAGATTTGGGGGGATAACCCAGAGGGAAAAAGGGAGTTTAAGTGAGTTCTCTCCAAAGGGAGCTGACGAGTGACATTCTGCGATAGACCCAGTGGCCTCATGCCCCCTCATCTACCATTAAAACACATTTTTAAAGAATTTCACAGCAATTACACTAACCTGCAACGAATTTTGGAGCGCTCATTATTTGGACAATAACCTTACAAATTAGAGAAGAATTTAAAAAATCCTCCCTCCCATAACAAAAAACCTTCAGTTTGTTCTTCAATTAAATAATTATTTTGTTGTTGTCCATTTTGTTGTTCAAAATGTATGGAGGGTTGGACATTTAGTGTTTCTAAAGAAGAAATAGCCGTGCAACATTGACTGTCTATACATTCAGTAGCTCCTTGTGTGTAGTAAATAACACATTGAATTGGGGATGTACAGGGTAGGTTTAGAGAACGCCCTCCATTTCGACAAACCTGGCAAGCTGGGAGAGAAAAATATTTTTAAGATACAGTAGAGGCTCTCTGTTACGACTCTCCCTTCTCCCTCAACCCCTTCCCTCATGTCAGCAAAAGTCCGGGTGATTCCAATATATTAGGATTTTTTGTGAATTTGGTAGTTATGAGGAGGATGGGTCCAAGCCAGAATCAGGAGAGAAAAACACCCTGGAGAACAGACACCCTAGACTTATTAGGTACTTTAGAAGACTGATATTTTAGAGGGTGATCTCGAGGATTGGACTAACTCAGATTATATATTTTTAAAAAATTTGTAATCTTCTTACGTAATAAAGAATAAACAAAATTTGGAAAATTTCCACAAATGTGATAAATTGGTGGATATGTAAGGGATTGTTGTTCTCTTTTATGTCTAAACAATGAAGGGATATTATTTATTCTTTCAGCTATTAAATTAACAAAGTTGATAAAAATGATGAAAATTAGTCCATAAGAGAACATCATTTAAAAAAGGAATTTTTATTTGGAGGTTTAAGGCATCTAAAATTTTTTTTAAGTTTTACAGGCAGACATCAGTTTAAGATGAAAAATTGTATCTTATAATGGGATGTTTCTTAAATAGAGGATATGACCTCACTATAAGATCCACCCAATATTAGATACCTCTATTTAAGAGACGTCAGTTGGCCACGGGTGAAAGGCCTAAGAGATACCCTCTATTTAATAGACACCCATTATACGGCACTTTTTTCAGTTTCAGGAAGTATCTAAAAAATGAGGCCCGCTAATTAGAAACTAATTTAAAATTCACAAATTTATTTATTTAATAACTGAGAAAACGTAGCAGAAAGAAGTGAACGATTTTTTCCTCAAAAAAATTTTTCTTCATAGAAACGTCAAAATCATTTTTAGTTATTTTTACAGCTGCCGTTTAAGGACAAAAACAATAAAAAATATAAAATGAGGAAAAACAAAGGAGAAAAATTATTTCACAAGAAAATTTTCCTTAATAAATTTTAGGGTGTTTTAAAATTTTATTTTGAAATTAAAATATTTCTTTTACCCTTAAAAGGATTTAATCGATTTTAAAAATTATTTTTCAAAAAAAATATTTCAAAATATTGCCCTTTTGAAATTTTAAGAAATAATTAGACGTCGCGAATAAATATAAAAAATCCATTTAATACGTGTTTTTAAATAAATGAAAACAGACGGAAGGGCCCGATCAATTAATTTTATCAATAAAATTTTTTTATATTTTTCCGATAAAATCGAAAAAATCCCATTTGGAGTTTGGTTATGAATCCAACCAGAGTTAATATAAGCTTATCTTACTTGTTGGAGGAATCGAAGCGAAAAAACCTCGGCTCTTCGGTTTCGAACCGAAAGTAGAAACTTTTTGAGGAGAGACCCCCACAAGAAAGATCAAAGCGCTTGAAATACATTTCGTGGGGATATAAACTTTTCTAAAATTAATCTTTCAATTAAATTATATTATTTTTAAGACGGAAAAAAAAATTTTTTTTCTAAAACAATTTTGTATATAAATTATTAACAATTCAAATTAAATTTAAAAAAAAAACCTTAAAAATTTTTCCGTCTCTTCTTTTTATGTTTAGGTAAATACCCAGACTTTTTAAATACTCCAACACCTTTTGTTGCTTCTCTTTTTTGAACAATTTTAGCATAATGTTTTTTGTTTTTAGCAATAATTTCGTGATCATTCATTAATTCTTCTGCCAAAGTATTTTTACGTTGTTTTTTATTTAAACGAGCAGAGTAGAAATCGGCGCTAGATTCAACTATTTGACCAATCTGTTTTGAAAGAAAAAAAATTTTTTTTTAAATTAAAAATAAATTTTTCGCTTTGAGAGGGGTTTTTACAAAAAGAAAGTTCAAATTTCGTCCTCAGGGTTCCATGAGAAAACAAAGTAAAAAGAGAAACCAAATTCCTCTTTATTACGAAAATAGACCAGATTCTTATTTAGAAAAATTATTCAGAAAAAAATAATTTGCTGATCTATGTATAAAAAGTTGACAAAATAAGGAAGCTTAAGGTGATGAGGAAGTTGAGGGAAGTCTTGGAATTAAGACGTCAGATAAACACCTCTATTAGATTATTCGTCTAACAATAAATTAAGGTGTAAAGGAAGGATCCTACCAAGGGAGGTTGACCTTCTTTGATCCTCTCATAATCAGGTTTGACCCTCTCAAACCAAGAGAAGTCTGACCTTATGAAGGGAGGTTACCAGTTAGGTAATTAAAAACTAATCTACAGATTAATTTACACTTAAAAATAAATTTAAAAAAACCTGAAAATATTTTGGCAAAACATTTCTGTCACTTTTCTTGTAATGCTGCTTTGGATCTAATATATTTCTCATTTGTATCAATTCCAAATCTCTCCGTTTTTCTTCATCCATTTCAGAAGCAGGCAATCCAAACCAACTTTCCCCTGCTGTTTGGGAATTCTGAGATTTTCTCATTTTTTTCTCTTGTGTTTTTGAACGTTTTAATACTTCATCCAAAGGTTTTGAATCATAATCCTTTGAAAAAAAAATTTTTTTTCAATTAAAAATTAAATTATTAAAAAATAATCCGTTCAAGTATCTTACAATAAAACAAAATTATTTTCCCAGTGTGGATTCGAACCTATGCCTATTAGACATAGGTTCAAAAATACACTACACTAAAAAAATCCAATACAACATGGAGAAAAACAAGAAGAAACTAAAGTGCGGAAAAATCATTCCCGGGATCCCGTAACGAGATTCGTTTCAGAATTTTTTACGGGACAGGATCCCGTGGGATTAATCCCATAATCTCGTTCTTTGCTTAAAATACGGGATTTCAAAACAAGATCCCGTACGGGAAAACACAAAAAATACTAATATTTTTTAATAAAAATTCTGAAAATTTTCTCTCAAAAAATAAGAAAAAATTTATAATTTTAAAAAAACCTACTTCTGTAAGTGAAGCCTTTTCAAGTAACTAAAAAATATTTTTAAAATTTTATTCAACCATTATATAAAAAACCTTTTTAATTTCCGGATCATCAGGATTAAAACCATCCAAAACACTTTTCCTTTCAACTTTAACTATATTTTCTTCTTCTTTTTTTATTTCATCACTTCCCATTCTTTTTGTGTCAATTTCAAATAAATCTTCATTTGGAACCTTTAAAATTAAAAAATTTTTTTTCTAATTTTAAAAAATTCAAAAAACCTCCATTTGATCAATTTCTTCTTCCAATTCAAGTCCATAAATACTCATATATTCACGCATACTTGCAACCAAATCTTTTGTAAATTCACCACAATCTTCAGCTATTTTAATGAATTGACGAATTAATCCTAAATTAATTTAAATTGAAAAATGTTAACTTTTAAGGGGCCAAAAAGTTCCACAGACTTGGCCAAAAAACCAAGCTGAAGGGCATCGGATATTCGGACCCTGAAAAATATTACGTCGCAAGACATGACGATGATAACCAGGGTTGCCGTTTCGAGTCGAACTGCATTTTTTCGAGTCATTTTTTGGGCCTCGTTTTCATCGGGCCAGCCCGACCGAGTCTTTTTCGGGCCAAAATTCGATGGCCGACTCAATTTTTCGGACAGCGTCGACAACCCTAATGATAAGCTTTCTTATTTCTATTTACATAAAAATGCAAAACCATTTAAAAAAAAGTCAGTTTCACTTGGAATTTTGGTTTTTTCTAGCGAACTAGCTCAAAAAATAATTAAAAAAAATCAAAACCTGCTTTATGTCCCCTTTCACGAATTGTTTTAACAGCCATTTCAAAAACAACTTTTGCAAGACTCAATTTTAAAAATTCATCATCTCCAGTATTGATAGGATCAAATGATTTTTTAATCTCTTCATTATTTTTAGAATGTAGATGGTTGCTACGATCGTCCGTTTTCATTAAAAATTCTCGTCGTTCAAGTAATCTAAAAAATAAAACAAAATTCTTTTTTGGAATTTTTTTTGGAAATTTTCCATAATTTCAGAAAATACAAAAAATTTTCCCACTTTCATTATTTTTCAAAGAAAAAAAGCCAAAAAAATTTTAAAAATTAAAATCTAAAAACCTTGCCACATAACGTAATTCAATTTCAAAATGTGTCACCCAAAGAGGAACATATTGTGGAAATTTCCTCAAACCCATCAAAATTAATGTTCGAGCATTTTCTGCACTTTTATTATCAAAAAATTCAAAGCGAGCAGCTCTCACATGATTTTCAGGTAAATGGGCATAAATCTGAAATTGAGACAGGATGATTTTTTAGTTTAAAAATTACTTGAAGTAAACGAGTATAAGCCCGACTGCATAATTTGCGCATTTTTGCATTGTGTAGAAAAGCAATTTCTTTATTATGATATTCCATTTTCTAAAAATTTTTTTTTAAATTTGTAATGAGATTATAAAATTCTCCAACAGGATCAGGTCTAACAAATGTCTCTAATAACTTTATCGAAACTAAATTTCTAAAAGATTTTGGTATTAGAGTATTTGAGGTATCTCACTGGGAGCTGTCGAAATACAAAATTTCAGAGTTTCGGCATAAAGTGATAAAGTGGCGCTTATATGAAACCAGAAGCCGGATCAAGACAAAACCCAAACAACAATCTCAGTTATCAAATCGAAACCAAGACAGTCCGGTCAATACCTATAAGGAAAATGTGGTATTTCGACTACTCTCGTTAACTTTAATAAAAAAAGGACAAAAAAATAAAAAAAAAACCTTAAATCTAGCAGCACATATTCGATAAAGATGAGCACATTTATGCTTTAATGGTCTATCAATTTGATCATATCGATGTAAAAACTTTAATTCTTTTCGTCGTTCAACAATTAAATCCAATTTTTCTTCTAAATATGCTGCATATGCCAAAAAGTCTTTGGCAACTTTAGTCTATTGAAAAGTAAAATTTTAAAGGAAAAATATTGAAGAAAATTTAAAGGGTTTTGATTAAATAATGTGATCGCGCAAAATTAAATTTCCCGTAAACTATAAGTGGAATTATGTAGAGAACGGACAGAAATCTTTACCTAAAATTGATCACGAGATCAGAAAAACTTAAGTCCCATCTAAATAGAACTTAAATGTGGGTACAATCCAAATAGGCGCAAAACCATAACCTGATTCAAGATTTCGAATTCTTACCAAATTTAGTATTAAACGATTCCTCTCATCGAGCTAAAAAGATCTTACCAAAATTGATAAGGGCCAGAAATTTTCCAGCAAGTTATGGCTTTGCGACGTTATGGCCGCACGCCTAGTTGAGCGCGTCCCCTTAAAAGTAACCCCACGTTCCATTGTAAAATCCACTTTCCTACATTCTCTCCGAAATCCCTAAGTTAAATTCCGTCTCCTCCTCCAATATTTTATTAACAAAAAACCTGTTTGCACAATTTGTACTCATAATCACGACAATTCTTAATAAAATCGCAAACTTCCTCAGGAGAAAATAATTGAACCAATTTGAGTTGTTCAAAGACTGGAAGCAATTCTTCCAATGATTTTTCTACAAATTCTGCCATTCCTTAAAAAACAGAATTAATTTTTAAAAATTTTTAAACAAAAAATATTAAACAGATAAATAATCTGTTAATTTAATAAAGTTGTGATCATTTTTAAAAATAAAAAGACACAATATTTATTTGAGAAAAAAAGGACCAGTACATTTAAAAAATTAAAAAAATACAAAATTAGCTATAGAAATAATTCGTTAAAAATAAAAAAAATCTTTTCAATTAAAAATTAATAAAATTCGAACAAGCCGTCAAAAATTCAATAGGATCTCTAGGCCCCCCAACACCTCTTAAAACATTCAATAAATTTTGATTATCCCGTCGATATTCAGGTCGACTAAACATTTGAACTACAGCACCAGATGATATACGAACAGCTATTGTATCAACACGAGCCTTTAAAAAAATAAAAAAAATTTTTTTAGAAAAAAGTGGTGGGAGCTAACTCAAGGAATTCCAACTCACGGAACAGACAGGTCGCGGAACGACAAGTCACGTAATTAACGAAATCACGGTACGGACAACTCACGGAATGACCAAAACACGAAAAATTTAAAAAATCAAAATTTTTTAGAATTTTTTAAAATTCTTTTTTTAAAGTATTCTAAGTTTTTAAAATTCGTATTTTTTTGAAATATTCAGATTTTTCAAAAAATTCCGATTTTTAAAATATTCCATGTTTTGGTCATTCCGTAACTTGTCCGTTCCGTGAGTTAGCCCGACACGGAAAGAAGATGGGAAGAAAAAAGGAACAATTCTTACACAAACAAAGGGAAAAAATTTTGGCTTGAATACAATTTTGAGAGGAACAATTACAGTTAAAAAATATTTTTCTTAAATTTCCTCTTCCAAACCACGTTGACATAAAAAACGCCTCTTATTGTTAAAATTTAAAAGAAACATTCAAAAGGAGGTAATAAAATCACATCATTCCCAAAAAATATTTTTTAGTCAAAAGACGCCCAAAAATGGAAAATTCACTCATTTAAAAATTTGAATGAATTACCTACTAGACCCCCCAAAAACATCCCAAAAATATTTTTTCAAAAAAACCTGTTTATCCAAAAGTGCTCTAACAAGATTATAAGGATTTGAAGAATGTCTATTAAATATTCCAGCAAAAGTATTATGCCAAGATTCAACAGAATTTGAAGATTTCGGTAGCTGTTCAATTGTTATATCTTTATTATTCCAAATTGTTGGCGGATATCTTGGAGGCATTAATTCCCTTCCAACCCAAGTCCTTTCCATGTAATCAATAAAAGCAAAATGTGGACTTTCCAAATCGCCATTGCTAAAGACTTCAAGAAACATTTGAGCTAATCGATGGAAACAGACGCGAACACAAGCTGTAAAGAAAGAATAGAAGGTTAGTTACTATAAATTTAACAAAACTTAAAAAAGATAGGAGAAATGAATTTTTGATTCTAATCATAATTCAACCGATGATTGGTTAGATAGCCGAAAGATTTCGAGTAAAAGTGATACGGGACTTAATAACAGTACTAGCATACTAGTCATACATATACGGATTTTTGATTTTTAAGATTATTTATGGTCAATTTTATCCACCCAGTTTTCCACTAAAAATTAGGACGGTTCGAACAGTTAGGAATATGAATCGAAAAATAACTCGATCCAAAATCATTTTGCAAGAGAATATATACACATCGCAAAAGGAAAACGGGGGGTCAGTATAGAATGATATCAAAAATATTAGATTCGGATTTAAAGTCAAAGAAGTCCCCTTTGTCCTTGAAACAAAACAACCCAAAGTAATAACAAAATAATAAAATTAAAAAAAAAACCTGGATCAACAAAAGTCAGACAAACAAACATTTTTAAATATTTAAGAAAACCGTCTTCTTCTTGATGTTGTAATCCCCAACCAAATTCTTGTATTTTTCTCCATATAGATTCCTTTAAATGTTAAAAATTTTCTGTTAAAAATTTCAAAAAAACTTTAAAATGAAAGAAACATCCATGAATTATTGCATAAGGAAAAGCATTTCTTAAAGCTTGTTCTTCAACTTTTTCAAAATCAATAATTATTGTTTGTGGACGAGAACCAGGAGTTATTTCATCAATTTTGACAAGTAAAAGTTCTATGGATCTCAAATAAAAGTCTGTTGTTTTTGAAGGAATTAAAATATAAATAAATGGAAGAACAAAAGAACGTCCAAAACGGCCATAAATTATCTTTAAAAAAATTTATTGAGTTAGAGAAATTTTTTTAAATATTTTTAGGTCGAAATTTGTCGGAAATTTGTTCTTATCAGCTGACCATTCTATAACCTTACACGTTTCTGACCCTTTTCCCTCTTCTCTAATTTTCCCCCAGTATTGCCTAACTTAACAGATAAACTCTAGCAAGGCGTCCTAGCGTTCCTCTTCTGCCCCAATTTTTGCAGACCTTGAAGCCCATTAATCTTTTAATTACCAAATAATCCAAAAATTTTTATAATAATTTGGTACCAAAAAACCACAAAGTTTTGACTTACAGTTCGGGAGGTTTCCTATTTAGAGCTCAAACCTTCAGACTTTCAGCAAAAAAAAAATTATAAAAAAATACCCAAAGTTGATATAATGTTTGAACATTTCCACCATTTTTAAAAGTCCCGTCACAAATCCAAACATCACAACCTGCCAACCTAGCAACATCCGTTCTAGAACCCAAAAGAATTATTCGATTTGGATCAGCAGGCCCCGTATCTACCAAAATAAATTCTTCTTGAAGTTCAGTTTTTGTTCGCCTCAATTGTTCGGGAATTTCAATTTCTGAAAGAGAATTGGGCAAAGGCATTCGATATCCATCAGCATAACGTTTTCGACCAACTGTTTTTTGGAGATTTACAAATTTGGGAAGTGTTGCCTGGAAATTAAAAATTAAACACTATATAATAACTCAAATTTTCCGATATTACTCCTTTTTTGCCCTTTATTTCCTTACGGGAACCGACCAGAGACACACAAAAGTTTTTCATTTCGCGTTTCACCTTCTTAAAACATCAATTTACGAACCAATCAAAGTAAAAGAAAAACGGACTTAAACATTGATATTTGGGAAGCTGATCTTCTGAGTTGGTCTTAGAAATAATTCAAAGGTTCTCAAAACGTGCGTAGGTGAGACTGGGCCAACCCAGTTAGCCGAAACACTGTCAAACGTCGCCCTTTTCATTCAGTTTCCTTGGCGAATAAACGGACAGGAATGTCGGCGGGAAGGGCTGACCCCCAGAAAACCTCACAAAATCAAACAAAAAACCTTAGCCTGTTCACTAATCCCAGCCAATTGTTCATTAACAATTTCTCTAGGAGACAAAGTAGAATTAATAGCAGCTTGGGTAATTCTGTCTTTAATTCTAGCCAATTCAATTCTGTTTGGTGAAGGCCCATGATTGTGTTGTTTTGTTACAGTCACTTCATTATTTGCATTGGTTACAGCAAAACCATAACATTTACAACTTCGCCAATATTCACATCTCCAATAACGCTTGTTGGCAGCACCATTTTTGTATTTTACGTAAATAAATCCTTCAAAAACTAATTTGTCGGCATTCTTTGTTGATTTGACAAAAGATGCCATTAACCTCTAAAAAATAAAAATATTAAAGAACACCAAATAAAAACCCTACAGATCGATTTCCTATTGATCGTCAGTGAAAACAATTAATTCGTCTACTATTTCTCTGTCTCTCTTGTTTTTGTGTAGTCTCTTTAATTAATTACTATGTCCCGACAAAATAGAACTGAACAAAATGGTACCGAGACAAGAACAGACAGAATGGTACGCAAGATAAAAGAGACAAAAGGATTCTACGGCTGAGAATCGACAAAATGGTACCTAGAAGTAAATATTGACAAAATGGTACTATGGGTAAAAAAGACAAAATGGTACCATTGATAAAAACAGACAGAATGGTACGGAGTCAAAAAAGAGACAAAATGGTACTAGGGGAAAATGGTACAGTTTATTCGTTTTATGCCCAAAATTGCCTCAACAAAGGATTTGCGATATTCCTCATTTGTTGAGCAAACTGCTACATATCCCTATAGTAATTAATCCTAAAATCTTTACATAGTCTACAGTAGTCTTATGTAAAGACAGTATAAAAGGCTAAAGTTTTTCTTAAAATATCTTTCTCTCATCAATCAACAATGAATCTTCTACCTGTCGAAGCAAAACTTGATATCCTCAAATGCCTCAACTTTTACCAATTGAACAACTTTCAACTGTCAAATCGTCATTTTTGTCAAGTGATCGTCAAATACAACAAAGAATTGGCTAGGAAAGTGTTTTATTCTGTTGAATTGGTTGCTAATTGTAAGGGTTTTGCTCTTTAATCGAGTATAAAGTTTTTGTTTTTTACAGATGTTTGTAAAGAGCTGGAGTGTGATCCTAGTGAATTGGACTTGGATGTAAGCGAGGAAGATAAATTAAAGGTAAAAACAATTGAGGGTTATTTTGTTTAAAAATTCTCTTCATTTTTCAGTATCAAGCAGCAATTCAAGAACGGATTCCTTTCTACCTTGATCACAAAAACGAATCTGACGCAGACGATAAAACAAATGAAATTGGGAATTTGCTGTTTGAATCAGGAGAAACAAGTGAACTTTAGGGTGTTTGTGTTGTTTCCCTTCCATACCCAATTTTCTATAATGTACAAAATGGTCAGTCATTTTTTTGATGTTTTTTGTTCACTTATCTCGCACTGATTGAATCATGCTACAGAGAAAGTTTGTGAAAGTAAACAAAGAAATGACTGCCCATTTCGTGCATTGTGGGAAAAAATTGGATAGGGGAGGGAAACAACACAAGTGAAACTTTTGAAGCTTTCTCTCAACTAACTTTTTTCATTTCTAGATGGAACATCGCCTAAATTTCTTCGACTTCAATTACAACAATATCCACAAACAATTGAAGAAATGCTTATTTTTCGTTTCTGGCTTGAAAAGCTTTCGCATTGCTTCATTGAAAACTTCAAAGTTGAACAAGCCTATATCAATCCGGACATTCTCGAATTATTTTTTGGCGATTCCCCGTTTAAATTCCACACAAACTACTTTTACCTGGTTGATAAGGAACAATTCATTTTTACTAGGGGATGTGATCTTTTGCACAATTACGTTGTTATTCACGGATATCGAGGCTTCTATTTCCAAGATAATTTTGTGAAACTGCGTGGCGAACTGGTAAAAGAAGAAGAACGTGGACTTTATTTTGTGGAGGAAGAGAATGAAGAAGAATCTCCTAAAGTTGTGGAGTATGAAATGGTTGATGTAGATAATCCACAAGAAGATTCAACGATCGTCTTATGTTTACCTATTGGTTCTAAGAAAACGGCTGATTAGGAAATTAGAAGAGTTAATGAGTAATTTTGTTTTGTTGTGATTATTTGTATTGTATTTGTGTTGTGATTTGTATTTATTGTGTAAAAATGTTGGATATTGTATATTTATTAGGATTTGAAACAAACGGTTAATCGAACCGGAACCGAAAACCGGTGGTTGAAAACAGGCGATAACAAAAATCGGCGACCTGCGATCTTTTTTTCAACATTTTGTACGGGACGGGATCCCGCGGGATTAATCCCGTAAATCCCAATAATGCCATTTTCAGCGCAAAACCCGGGATTTCCGGACGGGATCCCGTAAAATCCCGTCCCGTGCCCTAATTATTGCTATTTGAAAAATGAATGTTATCGTATACCATAAAATGTAACATTATGCCACAATAAAATATTTTTTCTAAAAAATTCTAAATTTAAAATTCTTTTCACTTTATCTGTTTCAAAATTAAACATTCAATTCCTTAAGAACCAAAAATTAAATTTTTTACATTTTTAAAATTTTCCTTTTTTTCCTCTTTCCTTTGTCTTCAAGTCCACAATTGCCTCAACAAAGGATTTGCAATATTTCTATTTAAACTAGGCATATTCTCCCCCTTTTCTTGTCTGTTTTGGTCCTCAGATATTCGAACGAGTCGATAATTTGTGGATTTGGGTTTTGTGGGGGAATTGAATAGACGGACACGAACATCATTTTTTGTTTTTATTCCCCCAAATTTTTTAATTAAAGAATTTGAAACTAATCGAATAAGTAAAGGATTGTTGTTGTTGTCGGTTAGTGAACGTCCATTGATGGTGCTGCTACGCTTTTCTTTGAAAAAATTTTTTTTTGGTTAAAAGAAAGGGTATCTTATCTTACCTTCATTTAAAAGTTCTGTTGCTAAATCCAATGATTTTTCAAGTTGGGGAAGACGGCTTAAGGGCAGATCCGAGAACCTGTTTAAAAAGGGATTTTTATTGCAGAGAGGATTGAACTGTTTAAAGCAATTAAGGCTCATAACTAGGGTTATCGGTTTCTGGAAATTCTTCGGATATCCGAAACCAACCCGAAAAATCCTCAGTTCTTCAGTTCGGCCCAGAACTGACAACCCTGCTCATAACGTTTCCAACATCTTACAATACCTCTACTTAAAGTAACCTCATTATAAGATTAAATTCCCAACCCTAAAGGGAAGTTCAAGTTGGTTCCGAATCGACAATCATAATTATATGGTAGTACCTCTCACTTTTAGTAGTCTCTCTCTGGAAGATCCGAACACAAAAGAATCGAAGTCACGTTTATCGGATAAAATAAACCTAAGAACCAACCCTCGATGTTACCGTGCACCCCTAAGGGAAGTTTGGGGTGTACGGTAATACCCAAAGGGACAAGGTCCGGTCCCGTATACCAAAAGGGGCCGAACCCAAGATTGTCCAATAAAAAATTAAAGAACCAAACAGAAAATCCTTGCTTCTTCAATTCTGTTCCTGTTGACCGGTTTTTTAATTTTTAGGAGAAAAGGAAGGAAACTGAGGAAGTTAATCGGATAGTCATCAATCATAGCTTCTTTAATTCATTAAAAATTAATTTAAAAACCAACTCATCATAAAAATATAAATTTTCAGCAGCTTCTCCTTCCAAAAATGACATCAGAAAAAATAAAAAATAAAAATACATTTTTTTTTGCTAAAAATTAATTTTCAGTAAGGGAAATATAAATAAATTTTTATTTCAGAAAAATAAATTTTTGAACCCAATTTATTTTTTATTTTTGTAACGCCTCCCTTTTCCTTTAATAATAATTAATTGGATAGACCCAATTATTTTTTTAATAATTTTTGAAGAAAAAAGTTTGAATGAAAATAACAGAAAAAAAAATCCCTTTTTTAATATTAAAAAAGTTTTTTTGTGGGTTAAATATGGCAAAAAAATTTATAAAAAAATTTTTTATTAAAATTTATTAATTAACACCTGGCAATTCTTTTAAAAATAACTTTTTTTAAAGAATTTTTAAAATTATTAATTTTTAATCTGTTCAGAGTTCTCTGTCGAATTCTTTGAAAAAACGAAAATAAATTTTATAGTTTGGTGAAAATTTTAAAATCTTTTTTTTTTGAAAAAATTTTCTTTAAAAAAACGAGGGTTAATTGGAAAGGTTAAACTAATTAAGCAATATTTTTAAAGTTTAGGACTAGAGTATACAGCAGGGCAGGAGAATTTTGAATTAAAAAAAACGGAAGGCAAAAGAAAATCCAGCCCTGGTATAAAGACATGTAGTTTTTGTTATTCTATTCAAATCCAGCCCCATTTTCCAATCCTTTTCTCGGTTCTTTTTTTGGAATTTCCCGGCCGCTCAATTTTTTATTTCACGTTTCTCAGCTTTAGTTTTGTTTTTACACTTACGGTCTCTATTCCGTTTTTAATCCACTGAATTCTCTTAACTAAAGGAAAAACAGAAGAAATTATATTTGGAATTTAGTCTGATCTCTCTTATGGCTAATACTCCCCCGTAGTGATAACAACAATTTTTCCTGCCAGTTCTTTTTATTAAATCACATCTCCCCTTTTTTAAAAATAAATTTATTTTAAATAAACTTATTTTTAAGAAATATTTTTTTTAATTTTTAATTTTCATCATTTAATTTAGTAATTTCGGGTATCCAATTATTACTTAATCTTGTATCAATATTTTTTATTTGTTGAGGTGTTTGTAGCATAGTATCACAGCAGTTATTTTCTGTTATTCTCTCTTTTCTTAATAAGCTTTGTTTGCGTATTTGACGGATTTGGTGATGCTCCCAAGCTATCTGGAAAGAAAAAAATTTTTTGGATCTCATTATAGGGTGCTTCTTTGAGACAGAAAAATCTCGTATCTTATAATAAGCTGTCTCTTAAATAGAAGGTAAACCTTCCGCTAAAAAACCTCTCGCTATAAGATACCCCCAATATTGGGGGGGGGGGAGGAGTAAGGGACGCCCCATTTAAATTTGGTTGCCCATTGGATGGGGGAGTTGTCCAAGCGATACCTTCCATTTAATATACACCCCATTATAAGGTACCGATTTTTTCTGCGTATTTATAATCGAAATTTTTTTACTTTTAATTTTCTTTTAACCAAAACAAAGCTAGCTTCACTAACATCCCCATCATGCAATTGTTGTTGTAACCCTATTCTTCCCCCAATTTGACTACAACAATCGGCACTTAATGTTGTATTGCTTAAAGTATCCCATTCTGTATTTTGATGGTCTAATCCTCTTTAAAATAAATTTAAAAAATAATTTTAACCGATAAAAATTAGCCCCAGGCTTCACGAAAAAATAAAAAATTATAATTTAGAAAATTAATGATTTTTATCAGATTCCCCTCAAATAAAACACGATATTTAACTAAAAAACCAAAGATAAAAAATTTTTATAAAAAACCAGGACAAAAAATCGGCCGTGTTAGTCAATAATCCGATTCTAGAGAACCCAAAAAACCATATCACCAACAAAAGGGTTCGAACCCGGGACCCCTCTAACTCCCCAACCGACACCTAAACCAATAAACCACTGCAGTCACAAAGCAAATATTTTCTTTTTAAATTTACCCGTCAGTAATTATCGACTCCTGTTCAGCTCTATGCATTATAAATTCTTTTTCTTCTACTAAAATTAAAATTATAATTTTATAATTTAATCAAAATATTTTTACTTGCCTGCAAGGCTCTTTAAACGCTCTTTTGGAGAAATTTCATTTTTCTCCGTTTTAAATTCTTCATTTTTTTCGATTTTATTTTCATCGGTAATTTCTTCATTTCTTTTAATTTTTAAATTTTGTAAACGTTTTTGAAAGTCAATAGGTCCAGAAATTGGAGCAGTATCCCCAACATAAGTAGTTGGATCAGCTAAACGATTTATCCTTGAGAAAAAATTTTTTTAATTAGTTAAAATTAGAGTTCGAACTTTTCAAAATGCCGGGCCCGGGACCCGGTTTTTTTTCTCAAAATCGCACCCGGACCGGTTTTTCCGGATAAAACCGGAAAAACCGGTTAGCCCGGAAAAACCGGATTTTTTCAGACCCGGGCCCGGACCCGGTTTTTTCTAAATTTATTAAAAACATAAAAAATCTACATACCCAATGATACCCGTGATATCCCGACTACATATATCTTTATTAGTGTAAGGCAGATGGATTTAGTTGGTTAACACGATATAACGAGAGATTTTGGAGAATGAAAAGGATATAGGGGGAATTATGGTGATAACAATGTAAAGAAGTATCTTCAGTTAAAACCTCGATGTCTGGAAGTATAACGGGATTAGGAATGATATGAAGGGATAAAAGGGCAGTGGAGGGTTACCGTGTGATTAAGGTGGATTTAAAAGTAGCAAATCATCCAATATCCCCATATTTTTCCTTATCCAGCGCCGCAGGCGAAAATTTTGAGGATTATAGAAAACCAACCCACTAGAAACCACCCGTAATCCAGATAATCCCGTTCTAAAATTTAGCGGGATCCTGCGGGATTTCTGGGTTTTCACATAATAGAGATATCTGGCGATATTTGTAGTGATCTGGGTTATAAGAGGATTTTCAGTGATATCGGGGGATTTAAGGAGAGTGGAGCATAAACTGGAGGATTAAGAGGCCAAAAATCCGGATTTTCAGCGCCGCAGGCGAAAATTTGAGAATTTTGGAAGACCAATTCACCAGATTTCTTTCTTTTTCAGCGCCGCAGGCGGAAATTCTGAGAATTTCTAAGGTCGTAGGCCAGAAAAATTCACTTTTTCAGCGCCGCAGGCGAAAATTTTAAGAATTTCTAAGGTCGTAGGCCAAAAAAATTCACATTTCAACGCGCTCAAGCAGCCAAATTTCTTCCATTTTCAACACGCTGCAGGTAATTTACAACAATATTACAAATACCATAAACGTCGTCGAGGAAATTTTGTCAAAAATATACCCCCAAGAACTAGTTCCAAAGCTAGTTCCAGGCATTTACTAGTTCCGTGTTCTAGTTCCAAACTAGTTCCACATAATCGTTAGTTCAGTAGTTTTAGTTCCGGAACTGGAACTTTGACATCACTGCAATCCGTTAGATTTCTTACTTTCCAGCGCCGCAGGCAAAAATTTTGAAAATTTTGGGAGATCCTTAAGCCAAAACTTCCATTTTCAGCCAAACTTCCATTCCAAAACTCCCACTCCGGGCCCGGCAAAAAATTACCGGGCCCGGGACCCGGTTTTTTTACTCAAAATCGCACCCGGGCCGGTTTTTCCGGGTAAAACCGGAAAAACCGGTTAGCCCGGAAAAACCGGATTTTCTTAAAAATACCCGGTTCCGGGCCACCGGGCCCGGAAAAAACCGGTCCGGGCCCGGCCCGGGTTCGAACTCTAGTTAAAATAGAGTTGGGATGGATTTTCTTTGGAGCATTCCGGAAATTGTAAAAATAAGTATTCCGGATCCAGAAAAAAATTCCGGACCGGAAAAATTTTTTCCGGATCCATCCCGAATATATTAGACACTTCAACTTTTTATTATAAAATTATTTTCCATCGAACGGGATCGAACCTTCTTCCAGTTTCCCCAATAAATTAAAAATTATCCCACTACACCAAAGTGGCTAAAACGGCACTTTCTTGGGCGGTTTTATTGGCTTAAAAAATTATTTTATTGGTTTATTGGCTAGGATATTAAACATTCCGAAGATATTTCAGAAAAAATTAGACACCTCAACTTATCTTTATGAAATTGTCTCCCATCAAAAGGTATCGAACCAGTTTCTATTCTCCCTCACAAATCAAAAATTATCCCACTACACTAAAGTGACCATTCTTCTGTGGGTGGTTGCATTTGACAGGGCGGTTAAGTTGAGGGAGGTGTCTTCTATCCAATTTTAAATGATATTTTTTCCAACTCACTTCTGAAACAAATTTTTTGAATTATTATTTCCTTCTTTATTTACAGAAATATTACTAGACAATTTTCTTCTTTGTTCAATAAATTTAGCTTCACTGCTAGGCCTTCGACGGCATCCATTCGATTTAATCTGGCCAACTAAAATAACATCTTTCCCATATTTTGAGGCAAGTAAAAGGGCAGCACCGCCTCCATTTCCGCCGATTATTGTTGTTGGTCCGGAACGGTTAAAGCCTATTTAAATTTTTTGTTTTTTTTGGGAAAATTTTTTTTTGGTTTTTATTAGTCTTGTCACTAAGTAGTTGGGGAAAAAAGTCAAAAACTAAAAAACACAAAAAATATTAAGCTGGCTGTAAATACAGCAAGATGGATGACTGATATGTTTAAGTTATAAGTTGAATACATTGACAGGGGTGGTTAAGTTTTTTTGAATTATTAAGTTGTGGTGTCCTGGAATGAGTCTTCCCCTAGTTTTTCGTGAATTTGGACAAATTTGGAACAAAAAAATTCACTGTATCCATAAAATGTAATAGAGCCACAGAATTCAAATCACTTTAAAGTTACGAATACCTTAAAATGTCTATTGCAGGGAACGAGCCGTCCTGATTTCCGAAAATTAGGTATTTTATTTTTCTCGGGAATCCCGATTTCCCAAGGGATATCGAGTCATTTTAAAGGATAAATCCTAGCATAGAGACGGGTGAATGAGAGTAAAGTTAGTTTTTTTAATTTTTTCTACACAAAAGAATTAATTTTTAAAATTAAAAAAATTTAAAGAAGAGAAGCCTTGTCGCGCATGAAAAATAAGAGAACGAACAAAATTATTATTATTGTTCGTATTGTTGTTATTTCCTCCTTTCTTTTCAATTTGTTTTGATGAATCAACCAAAAAAATTTGTGTGCTGCTAAATGCACAGCCCATAAATTTTTTAAGAAAAATTAAATTAAAAATTAATTTTTTTGTTGAATTTTCAAGCTCTTTCTTTAATATTTTTTTTTTACATTTTTTTATTGAGAGAGGAAGGGATTTTAAAGAAGAGAAAATTATTTTTAAAATAATTAAATACATGAGTGTTTTTTAAATAAAAAAAATTAATCCTAAAAGAGAGAGGGATTTAAAAAATATATTTATATTGATTCAGAAATATCCACAGCTCTTTTAGTAAAAAATTATTTAAATGGAAACTGTTAAAATAAATTTATTTTAATTATTTATATTAACAAAATAATTACAAGAGTCAAAAATAAAATTAAAGCCCTCGAAATTTAAATATATAATTTTTTGGGAATTTTTAAATAATTTGTTGGAGTTTTTTTAATCAAAAAATATTTAGGTAGGGATTATCGGTTATTGAAAAAATATTTAGTTATCCGGAACAGAAAAGAAAACATTTAAGAAATCAGAAGAACCTTGTAAGACTAGAAAAAATAGAAATCTTCTAAAATCATTTTATATAATAAAATTATTTAAATAAATTCTGTTTTTAAAAATATATTTATATTAAAGTTACAATGGCGGAAAATTATTTTTTTAGCTATTTTGCGATAATTGTTCTTGTTGATATTTTTTGGAAGGAGGGGCAGAATCTACTCAGGGGTGTGATGAATCATTGTTGCCAAAAAATCATCATTCAATTTATCATCCAAAATATTTTTGGATTTTTTAAAATTCAAATATTTCTTTCTTTTCGACAGGTTTGTTTTTAAATTTTTTTTCTTGTAAAATTAAAAATGGCGTGGGATTAGTTGTTATTGTTCACATTTTTTTGAGAATGAACCCAAAATTATTTTTAATATATTTTATTAAACAAATAGAGAAAATCTAATTAATAATTCAAAAGCAATAACTCCAAAAGTCAACCAATACTTAAGTAATCTTTGGAGACATATATTAATATTAATACAACGATTTTAAAATTAAATTAATTCATTAGAAATTTTGGTAAATCAATATACTCCTCTCATTAATAGTTTCTCAACGTTTTAAATTTCTTAACGTTAATAATCAAAACCGTGATGAAGTAGTTAGTGATGATGAGGATGACGATCTTGATCAGGTATATTTTTATAATGAAATTTAAATCTAAAATTTTTTGAACCAGTAGATTTTGGTTTTTATTATTATAAAAATTTTTAACTGAATAATCTTATTTTTAAGGACTTTCCCGGGTTAAACCCGAACAGAATTTTTGGCGGAAGGCGTGGCGGTGGACGAGGTCGTCGTGCTGGTGGTGGTGGACGTGGTGGTCGTCGTGGTGGTGGACGAGGAGGGAGGAGGATTGTTAATAATGGTGCTAGAGTTGAAAATTCGGATATACAGGTTTTCGATTTTTTGTTTGAAATATTTATTACTTACGAATTTGGAATAAATCGGGGTTTGAATCTGTCCTTTAAATGATGGGATGGTCTGCCAACTCGTCCTTTTAAAATTTAAAATAAGCTACATTAAAATTGTTATTTGTCAAAAAATGTAAATTGGGAAATTTTGCCCACTTAACCCATTATTTAAAGGACAGATTCAAACCCCGATTTATTCCAAATTCGTAACAAAAAAATCGAAAACCTGTATATCCGAATTTTCAACTCTAGCACCATTATTAACAATCCTCCTCCCTCCTCGTCCACCACCACGACGACCACCACGTCCACCACCACCAGCACGACGACCTCGTCCACCGCCACGCCTTCCGCCAAAAATTCTGTTCGGGTTTAACCCGGGAAAGTCCTTAAAAATAAGATTATTCAGTTAAAAATTTTTATAATAATAAAAACCAAAATCTACTGGTTCAAAAAATTTTAGATTTAAATTTCATTATAAAAATATACCTGATCAAGATCGTCATCCTCATCATCACTAACTACTTCATCACGGTTTTGATTATTAACGTTAAGAAATTTAAGACGTTGAGAAACTATTAATGAGAGGAGTATATTGATTTACCAAAATTTCTAATGAATTAATTTAATTTTAAAATCG